GGCTCAGCACAGCCCTGTGAGAGAGACAGTACTTTCCCCCCTTTTACAGACGAGGTAACTGAGGCCCAGAACACACAGCCTGCACAGCTGGCTCACTCCATCCCGGCCCCACAGACTCTCTCGTGGGCCCCTCCTTCTGGGCTCTGAGCTGCAGGCGGCCGTGGCTGTCTGTGTGGTCCCTGCTGACCCTTCAACCCACTCTGCACTCAGGACACAAGACGGGTAGATGCAGCTCCGTGAGGGGGCGGGGGGCACACCCTCTCCCCACCTTCTCCATGTGAGTGGACATACGTCCAACCCTGAGCCTATGTTTGGCAAAACTCACGGTCTGAGCTGAGCCTCAAGGTAACTCAAGCGGTGGCCAAGGCCTGGGAAATCCCCTCCACTTCACTGACGAGAGCCTCAGGGAGGCTGTGTGCCTGGCTCGGGTCCCTGGCTGGGCCGGCAGTGGTGGGCAAGCCCCTCTCCCTTCTCCTGGCCCCCGCCAGCTCTCTCTGAGGGAGGGCGGGCTTGCTGCCAGGGGTAAATGATGCCAGGGGTATAGCTTAGAATGGGACTGGTATCTAGCATCTCATCTAATTCTTTCAACAACATTTTGAGGTTNTCTTCTGACTCCTAAATCTAGAATTCTTTTAGGGGGTCTTAGGCCTCTTGGGGAGTCACCCACACAATCCTGCACCCAGTTTTGAGGGCTCCTGGCCCCCTGCAGCTCACCCACAGGCTCCCAGGAGTAGAGTCTCTTTACTGCAGCTTGAGAACCCCGTACAGGTCACACAGCCCTGTTCCGAGGACACGACAGACGTGAATGGACTTCACCAGAGCCTGAAGCCCAGCACGCACCTCGGCTGTCTCAACTGCGATCCTGCACGGAGCTGCAGCCCCTGGCACACGACGCGGCAGTTCTGACACCAATCCTCCGCGTCCTCCGTCCTCGCACGGCCCGCTGCCCCTCCCCAGGGGCTGCTGCTGGCCAGGGACGTGCTGGAATGCTCGTTAATGCTACTTCAGCTGCCATCAGGCCTGGCAGCCTGCGCCTGCAGGCTTCCAGGGCAGGGACTGCCTGCACCCCACATCTGGGTCCCCGGATGACTCGGCAGGACCCTGCCTCTCCTCCCCTGCCCCAAACACCATCTTGGTCACAGAGGGCCAAGGATGGGCGGGGTCTGAGGTTTAGGAACCCTCCCAGTGCCCAGAAAGGCGCTGCAGACACACCTTGTAACAGTTGTGTTTATTAAGGGTTTTCTAAGCCAGAAATAGTGTTAGGCTTTTTGCATAGGTTTTTCCACCAAACCTCAAATGAAACTGGTCCTGTTACACACCATCCTACAGATGTGGAAACTGAGCCCCAGAAAGCAGAGGTCACTAGTCCGAGATGCCCCAGAGGGAATGTAGGCATTCATTCTTGGGTTGGTGTGACTTCAGGGGTGGTGGATTCTGAACCATTAGTTACTGGTGATTGTCTCGAGGTGGCAGTTCGCCTTCAACTGTGCAGGTGTCTGTCCTTGGAAGCCCAGCCCTGGGAACGAACGTTCTGAGTGACGTGGCAGATTCACATTTATTAGAATTTCTCAGAGGATGCAGAGTTTGCTGAACTTCAACTTCAGCAACTCTTCATTTGCACTCATAAAATATTAAAGCTGGAAGGTGCCCTGGTCATTGGGATTGTCTAGTCTCCACATTTTATGAAAGCAGAAACTGAGGCCCAGAGGTGCGATGGTCTTGGCCAAGGCGTCCCCAAGTCACAGATAATTAGGAAGAAATCCAAGACTCCAGACATCATGTCAATGCGCCCTAAGATCAAACAATGCGAGCTCAGGAAGCAACACTCAGGGCCTTCCGGTGCAAGCCTCTCATTTTACAAAAGAGGAAACAGACTCAGAGAAGAGTGGGGTCTTCCTAAGGCAAAGTGTACCACTGACGGTCCCCAAAGACCGAGTTTTGTACTAGCAGTGTGACCAGACAGATGAGATAACCTTTCATTAGTAAAGTGGCAATAACAGAACCTATAGCATAGGCTCACCCACAGGAATATAAATGATGCTGGCCAGCACTGAGCACTCACTAAAGGCTCCATCTGTAGTATGTGTTATTAACACTGGCAGGCCCTTGTCATTTCCCCTCTGCCACCTGCCTTCCAGGCCAAATGTTTCCAGGTACAGAAGAGTGGGTAAGACTGTGCATTGCTGCTTCAGTCACTTGGTAGCTGGGTGACCTCGGACTGGTTACTAGTTTGTGACTCTGGGCTTCAAATGTCTCATGAGGAAATGGTATGGCAGGAACAGACCTACTAGACTGGAATTTGGGGGGGATGGATATAATAACATGTGACAGGCTTCATGCAAAGCCAGGCCTATATGAAGTGCTCAATGTATTTGAGCTACCAGCCCTACTGCCTTCATGGCCATGTTGCATGTCTGTCCCATCCCAGGCTGCAGGGCGCCTGGCCCAGTGTTAGGCGTGCCAGTGCGGCAAGGCAAGGCGATCTCGGAGCTCTGTGCCTCCTGTCTCCCGGGCAGGGACTGCCTGTACCCCACATCTAGGTCCCCGGATGACTCAGCAGGACCCTGCCTCTCTTCCCCCACTCCTAACACTATCTTGGTCACAGAGGGCAGAAGACGGGCAGGGTCCAAGGCTCAGGAACCCTCCCAGTGCCCAAAACTGTGACAACCAGTCACAGTTGTGTTTATTAAAGGTTTTCTAAGCCAGAAATAGTGTTAGGCTTTTTGCATAGGTTCTCCCACCAAACCTCAAAAGAAGTTGGTCCTATTACACACCATTCTACAGATGTGGAAACTGAGCCCCAGAAAGCAGAGGTCACTTGTCTGAGATGCCCCAGAGGGAGTGTAGGCATTCATTCTTGGGTTCGTGCTGACTTCAGGGGTGGATTCTGAACCATTAGTTATCGTTGATTGTCTGGAGGCACAGGGACGCGGCTCTGCTTTCTCAGCGCCTGCCTGGAGGCGGGGGTTCTGAAAATGCCGGACAAAATTCCGGCTTTTGCGAGTGGAAGTGTCCCGGAGGAGCCCCCCTTTCAGGGGCAGAAACTGAGGTTGCTGTCCACAGACTCACAGACGCCCGGTCTCAGGCCCAGGGTTTGATGCACCGCTGTCCTCGCTTGTGGCACGGTAGCCCAGGGACGGTCCCCTTCCCCAGGAGCCCCCGTCCCCGAGGAAGAGCGCCCATCCCAGAGCTCCGCCTCCTCGGTTCAAGTCTGTGAGGTCCGTCCTCCCGGTGGCATCTCGGCGTCTGTCCTGGCGTTACGACTAAGGAACCGATGGCAACCGAGGCCGCTGCCACCTTTCTGCAGTATCCAGGGATGTCTCTGACCCCCAAGCTGCGGCGACCAGGGCTTCCGGAAAGCTGGGTCCCAGCTGGAGGTAGCGCTCGCTGTCCGCATCTCCGAGCCCAAGCCTCGGAGGAGCGCTCGACAATCTTCGGAAGCCGGAGGGAACGCTCGGGCATTTCCGGTGCCGAGGGGCGGGGCTGACCGTAATACCGGCGTCTCCGCCTCCGCCTATAGAGGGCGCTGTTGCCAGCGCGAGCCCGTCAAGCCGGAGAGTCGGCCAACGTTATTAGGAGGCGCAGAAACAGGTTCTGTAACCTTAGAGCCTCGGCTTCTTCCTCTGGAAAATGGGCTTGATGACAAGTCTTGTGAGGCCCCAGTGGGACCCGAATAAGTTTGTGAGAGGAACTGGAAGGCACATTGATAAATATGCACGCTACTTGCCTCAGTTTGTTCATCTGTAATTAGGGGTCATTGTAACTTCCATCTCTGTGTAAATTGTAAGAATTGAAAACTGTGGGTGAGACACACAGAAAGGGCCTGATGGACCTTCTCGGTGGTCCAGTGGCTGAGACTCCGAGCTACAGTGCCAGGGACCAGGGTTCAATCCCTGGTCAGGGAACTAGATCCCACAGGCTGCAACTAAGACCTGGCTCAGCCAAATAAATAAGATTAAATTAAAAAAAAAAATAGAGCCTGGAGCCTTGTCAGCACCCAGTAAAAGGAAATGATTGTGACAATGGGCGAAGGGCTCCCCCCAAGACAGGAAATAAAGTCCATATGTCAGTTCCTGCTTCCCCTTCAGCTGCAGGGCCAGAGACAAGGCAGGTGCGAGATGTTCTGAAACCACTGCCGAGAGTCAGACCTGCTGCTGACACTTGGGCTTCAGTTTCCCCATCTGTATAACTGAGGGCCCCTAAGGCCCGTTAGCCCTGTTTCCTTGAACCCTGAGTTGTGAACTGCAGTCCAAGACAGCTGCTACTTATGGATGGATAAGTTGGAGGAGGGTCCATAGGAAGTCACCGTTGACTGACATTTACTCTTTCTACAAACCTCACTGAGCTAACATTCTGGTACCAGGTCCTAGGGAAGCAACAATAGGTACGAGATGCCTCTTGCCCTTGCCCAAAGTTGGGTTAGGTGACAAACAGCCCTTTAGAATACAGGCTTAGGCTAGAATGAGGGCAAGGCAGGGGGTCGTAAGAGCCCACACTTTGGGGGTTAGGGAAGGCTCCTTGAAGGTAAAGGGTAAAGAGAAGTTATGTGAAAATGGGGGCAGGGGAAAAGGATTTCAGACAAGAAGCTCTGGGTACGGGTACAAGAAAATATGGCAGAATCAAGAATTTATCAGAGGTGGGTTGGAAGCAGAAGAGATTCTGGGAGAGAGGGATGTCCTGAGCAAACACAGGGGGTGGGGCCGGTTGGCTGTGTTCTAGAGCCAAGTTTTGTGCTTGGCAAGTGATTTAACCTTTCCAGGCCTCAATTTCCTCACCAAAGCTTTTTAGAGTGGATGTGATGCCTAAAGGAGATAATGTATGCAAAAGACTTAACAGCAGGGGCTTAATCAGCGAAGTTAGAAGGTTGGTCAAGGCCAGATCAATACAGGTTGTTCTGCTGTAGGGACGCTGGCTCAGCATGTACATCCCCAGGCCCCTCCACGAGAGATTCTGACTCAGAGGATCTGGGAGGGCACAGGGATTCACTTTGATGACCAGCATTGAGGCACAATTCTTAAAAATTTTAATGAAAAGTATCCAAGACCATAAAGACCTCAAGGTCAGTTCTGCCTCCTTCCTTCACCGCTAACCCCTCTGGAAGCCAGAAGGCAGTTCAGGTGCCCAGCAGAGTTTTTCACCCGCATGTGTGACCGAGTCCCTGTCCCAGGTCTGCTCTGGGCTCCCACAGTCTTTTGTCCAGGGCAGGCGCCTGGCTCAGGGCCGAGGAAGAGGTTTCAGAAACTTTCCTGGCATGTCTCCCCTCTGCTGGCGTTTGTTTCTGGGTGGTGCCAGGCTGCTTCCAGGCCCTGTGTGTCCTCACGCAGCCTGACCTTAGAGGGAGGGGGCTGTGATGCAGCTGCCCCTCAGCGAAGCAAGCTTCACATCCTCTGAGCCCGTTTGCTGGGGCCTCTTTTAATGCCTAGTGATGCTGCATTTACCTGCCACCAGAAATGAACTTTTATCCAACTGATAGTTTTTCGCCCAAGCCTCAATACCCCAATTTAAACTCATTGGTATAGAATCTTTCTCAAACGTACTATGGACAGCCTTCTCTTCCAGAATAAAGAGAAGAAGCATTGCTTAGATATATTTTTCTGAGAGTGATTGTGCATCTTGAGAAGTGCAGAAGGCCCTGCTGTGAGCCACAGCCACCTTGCTCTGCGACCTTATCAGGTCACTTTCTCTCTCTGACCTAGACAGCCTAGCCTGCATTGGGAGATGACCCTGCAGACCTAGGGTGACTGCTGTGGACACCACATACTTAGGTGGCCTGCACACAGTGGTACCACACAGAGGCTGCCAGAATCATTTTCTTGATGACCCAAGATCTACACTGTGAACATCAAGCGTGGTTCCATGACTACCGTCTACTCATCTGTCGCCTCAGGCTAGACCATCCGGAGAGCCATCGGCAGTCATTTCAACCTTCTGACTGTGAGGTGGCCTGGGATGCCACCTTCCCCAAGACAATGCTGGTTCTCCACCTCCCTAACTTCCACCAGATGCTGGAGGGAACTCCCAGAGCAAAGCTCCAGACAGGCAGACCTAGTGACGGGACTAGGAAAGTGCTGGGTCCAGTTCTAAAGCAGTGGTCCTATGGGGACCCAGCTGGGCCTTCCCATGAACATGAAAGATGGTAGAACAGTCTTACAGTTGAGCGTACCTGCTATAGAGACCAGCAGACCTGGATTTGAATCCCATCTCCGCCATTTACTAACTGTGACCTGGGGCAAGTTACCCGAGCTCCTCTGGGCCTCCATTTCCCAGACCATGAAGTAAGAATAGTCAGAGTATTTATCTCATGCAGTAGCTAGAATGAGAGAGGCCAGGTGTGAAAGCAAAGGTACCTCTTCCTCTTCTTAGCAGAGCCTTGAGTCCTCTTGTTGCTTAGCCTCTTGCGCTGGGAACAAGAATATAACAGTCCTAGAGCATGTGTGAATCCACAAGCCTCACCCAACTGCTCGAACTGGTCCCTTAGGAAAGACCAATGAACCGTCTCACTCAGACTCAGGAACCACAGCCGGAGAATCGTTCATCTGTAATTGCTCACAAAGGGAACTGGAAGAGCGGGGGAGATGGGGTGAATCTGTAAATCCACCCACGGGCTCCTGACCTTTTCGGCAGAATTCAGCCTCCCACCTGGTGTCCTCCCAGGGTGGCAGACAGGTGGGTGGGCAGGCAGACCTACTGCAGGCTTTCATCAGTTTTGGGCCAGTCCCCTGTGGTTACAACCGCGGGTGGATACTGGTGTGGGGGGGGAGGCTTATGCAAAACTGCACATAGTTCAGTTTTTTGCTGTCTGCTTCATAAAGGGAGTAGGGGGAGGGAGGCCACCTCCCCTTTACTATAAGTTAAGGCCTGCAAAAATAGGACACCTCTAAGGAGCAGGGGGTGGGGGGAGGGCGGGGAGGAAGAGGGGAGGAAGAAAAGGATAAGGACAGAGGAGAGATGGAAGGGTGTGATAGAAGGGGAAGGAACAGAGAGAGGAAGGGAAGGAAAGAGTATATGAGGCGTGATGAACGTCAGAGAGAGATAAGGAGAAAGAGAAATGCTTTGCACTTCACAGACACATAAAAATAACTGAATTCAAAATGAAAAAGGTATTACTGAGGAGAGTTTGCAAGCAATGTAGTAGGCAGGGTCTGAGCCCCAGCGAAGGTGACCGCGCGCGGCTCAAGCTGGCTGGAAGGCTCCTGGCCGGTGGTGGCCGCCCTCCAAGGGCTCAGCCAGCCGGGAGCTGTCCAGATGAGTGGTGCTGAAATGCCCAGGTACTCACCAACTTCTCAAAGAGGACGTGCTGAGCCATTCGACTATTTNGGTGGCCGCCCTCCAAGGGCTCAGCCAGCCGGGAGCTGTCCAGATGAGTGGTGCTGAAATGCCCAGGTACTCACCAACTTCTCAAAGAGGACGTGCTGAGCCATTCGACTATTTGTTAAGCTCTGCTGTATGCCAACCACTGTTCCAAGAGCTGAGGAAAGCACCACTGAATAAGAAAGGCAAAAGTCCTTGATTTTATGAAGCTTAAATTCTATGGGAGGAGACAAGATAAGATAGTACAACTGTGCACGTTAGAAAAGGTCAAGTTCTATGGAGAAACATAAAGTAGGAAGAGAATGAGCTCAGCCAACACACCCCCAAACAGTGGGCACAGCGAGGTGACACAGCGCTGTAGGATGCCAGGGCTGGGTGTGAGCCCCTACACAAAGGACGTGCTGACACTGGGCCACAAGTCACAGGGACTCCCAGCTGGGCGACCTGTCAGGGGCCAGACTCCAGTTCCAGCCGGCGGCCTGTTCTCTCTCTGGGGGCCTCTCATCTCCTCCAACCTCAGGTCATCTGGGCCTCTCAGTGCCAGAGAAATGGGTTTCCACCTTCTGTATACAGCACCAGCTTAAGGTTGGATGATTTGAGACCCTGTCACTGGGTCAACTTGGGCAAGTCACTTCCTTACTCTGGGCTTTGTTTACTCATCTGTAAAAGGGACAATGAGCCTGGCCTAGTGATTCTTGCCGTGTTTGAGGAGGTACCAAGGAGAAAGTGGTGGCTGAGTTCTGTCTGCTGTGCACGTGGGGTATTCCCCCTCACTTGGCTGTCATACCTCAGAGTCCCCAGGGCTTACCACAGGGTCTAACCCTGCAGACACTGAATGAATGGGGTGGCAGCAATGCTTGGCCAGTGTTCACTGAAAGCCGTGTTTCACCCTCACCCTTCATTCTGCAGCCCTGTTCCCGAACACACCAACCCTGAAGGACAGCCCAGAGGGAACAGGGCCTGAAGCCCATGCCTGAGTGGGTCCTGCAGTCTGGGCCACTTTGGGTGACACTTGGGGGATCAGAAGCCACTGTGGTCGAATAAGTTTTGGGGGACTCGGCACCCCTGGGAGATTCCCAATGCTCATCACCATGTCCAGGCTCTAGGAGTTGCACCAGGAGCCCTGTTAACTTCCTTCAGCTGTCAAACTCCTGTTTCCCCTCCTTTTTGGAGGAATGCTTATCATAATCCTCAAGAAGTTGCCCTGGGAAATGCTGCACTGGGATTTGGGAAGGACTTGAGAATCCTTGTCCCAGGGAGACAATTTTAGAAGTTTCTGGGGTTCCAAACCTCAGTGTTTTGTGTACGCCTACGACATAGCAGGCACTCAGTAAACATGTGAAGAATGGATGAATGAATGAATACATGACACTGTTGTTCTACTCAGTTTCAAATGGTAAAAATGGAGGGCAGCAAGAACAAAGTGATTTGAGACTCAAGGACTCAGGGCAGAATCATTTTTAGTCCCCTTTAGACTACAAGTTTGGCTGAAGAACTGCTGGAGTTTATTCATCCATCCATTCATTCACCCAATGACAACTCAGAGTGGAAAGTGTGATGTGGTGGATTAGCACTGGGGACCATGGAGGGGATAAGTGACTGCATGTGGGGGTAAAAGGGAATGACTTCCAGGAGGTGAGCCTGAAAGGCCCTTTGAGGGGACTGGCCTCAGGATTCCCACCCTCATGTCATTTTCCCAACCACATGAATCACACTAGGGACTTCGTGCTTAGAATCCCATGGTTGTGGGCCCCCCAGCCTTGACAGCATCCACCCTGGCCCCCTCCTCTCTTTCACCCAGCCCCTGCTACCAGTCCCCTTTGCTGTCAGCTGCTTGCCAGCCTCCCCACACCCAGACGATGCATCTGCAATATGCAGATGACTGAAAAGACCCAAAGGAACAGAGCTAATGGCAAGATTCCAAGCAGAATGACAAGTCAATGGGGAGCCCTCTGCAAGCCCCCCAAATACCATTCTCAGAAGCCTCAGGCCAGACACTCACCTCCATCCTCTCAGCACCAACTGCACATCTGCCCTTCTGCCCCCTGCAAACTGGAGCATGGCTGGATCTTTAAACAGGGGAAAAATGCTTCATCATGTTCTGCTTCTCCATGAAAAACCAGAAACTCCCTTCCCCCTCCCTCCTCCTCCCCAGCACACTCTCCTCCCAGTAAAACCTGGTTAAAGGGACAGTACAACCACATCCCCATCTCTGAGGGTCTGCTTAGAACCAGGGGTCTGGGAGTGAGGTGGGGCGCAGAGAGAAAAGGACAGATAGAAGTCTTTCCTAGGGTATTTGTCTGTCCCCATCCTGGGGAGCCTACACAAGGAAAACCATGCAGACTGGAAATGTAGTGTGGGTTGAATTAACTGCCTGAGGGAGGCTCAGGTCTGGGATGGAAGACATCAGTGACTCCCTAGGGGGTCTCGAGGCTCCCCCCTCCCCCTGCATCTGACATCTAGGTCCCTTCAGCTCCAATGGAAGGGCAAGACAGGTTTGTATGTGGGAGAATGTCAGAATAGAGGGAACTGGACCCCCAATAGAAGGTCAAGGGGCTGGGTCTCTGGCTGCCAGGGTGACCCCACTGGATTACCCATCCACCCCTCCTCAGCCCCTGATCTGCATAGCACAGGAATCAGGCGATGGGGAGATAGAATTCCTCCCTCCCATCCCTCAAGGGGAAGGCAGAGGTTAATTAACCCCTTTCTCCCCAGCGAAGAGTAGGCCCTGTCCTTGGTGCTGAAGCATCAGCCGCAGCGCCACCCCCACTCCCAAGGCTCTTGATTGGAATCAAACCCAAGACAAAGCTAAATATCACCAGCAGTGCAGGCCCCCCAAATACAAAGGCCCTCTTTTCTACCTGAATTAAGGCTTGTGGGGGTGAGCGGCTCTGGTACCCTGAAAGCTTCTCACTGCTTCTCTGGGTGTGAGAAGGGAGCCCAGTCATGACACCCACTTGTCTCTTGTGGGTGTGGGGAGAGGCGACAAGTTGAAGCCGAGGAGATGGAGAGGGAAGAGGAAGAAAGGACTTCTGAGTTGTGGGGAAGTGGCTGCTATATCCACGGGCAGTAGAAGGACTCCTCTCCTCTACTGATGCCGGAGACTCCCCAAGTCTCTAGGGGTCTCAAGTTGCAGCCTGACCTAGAGCAAGATCTGTTCTTTGTACCGATGGGAAAACCGAGTGGGGGGTGGGGAACAACTTGTTCAAGGTCATTTACCAGCAATTGTGGAGCCGTCCTCAGTGTGCAGACCCTGGCTTGAGCGACTCCCAGCACACCTATCACTTCCCCAACCCCACACCCAACTCACACCAGCTCTCCCAACTTCATGCCCAGCTCCCTGCAGTACCCCCACCCTTGGTCCTTTGACCCTTGCACACTCTGCCTTTACAGGGAACCCTCTGCCCACTTCACTGAGTGTCCTTGCTGGGGCCGGCTTCAGGGTCTCCTGCCTCCCATCCTGAGGAGACCACTGCGCCCACCCCCAACCCGGGCTTCCCTTCCCTGGCCTCTGCAGTGCCTCCCACCCACAGCCCCGTTCAGGGCAGCCTCGCTGCCCCTCCCCAGCTCCAGGTCTCCCTCCCCGTTTTCGGGCCAGTTGCCGAGTTCTTTGGCCCTCTCCTGTGGCCTCTCTAGCAGCTAGGGGAAGGGTTACCTCCATTCAGGGGTCTTCAATCTTTACTCTCTGTAGCGCCCACCATGCCTCCATTCAGAAGTGCTTTTCTCCTCCCCTATTTCGGGCCGGCTGCAGACACTCTGCGCTCCCTTTCCTGAGGGTCTAACTATCAGGAAAATCCTGTGCCCCCTACCACTCGGGGTCCTCATCCTACTGCGTCTTCCACCGCCCCATCCCGAGGGCATCCTGCCCCATTCCCATCTGGTCTCCTTGCCCTCGCGCCCCCATTTTGGGCGCCTTCTCTCTTTCCCAACATGGTAGTAGGGTCTCGCCATCCGCACCCGGGGGGTCCCCGGCAGTCCACTCCGGGAGTCCTCTACCGCCTGACGGCCTCGGGGTGGGGGGTGGGAGCGGGGGTCTCCTCTGACGCTGCATTGTCGATTCTACTTCACTCCTAGGTTCCCCTGCCCCGCCCCTCTCACTGCGGCGGAGCCGGCCGGCCCCGGGCCGCTGGGGGAGGAGGCGGAGAGGGCGGGGCCCTCCTCCCCCGCTCCCCCCCCCCGAACTGCTGAGGGGCTGGACCCCGCCGGGCTGCTATAAAAGGGCCGGCCGGCCTGGAGGTGCCGCAGTGTCGCCCGCCTCTTCCCGGCCTCAGGGCTCCCTCTCCGCCGGTGGCCGCACCCGCTCCGGCCACGATGAGCTTCAGCGGCGCCGACGCGCTGCTGGGCGCCTTCGCGCCGCTTCATGGAGGCGGCAGCTTGCACTACGCGCTGTCTCGCAAGGGCGGCGCGGGCGGAGCGCGCTCCGCAGCCGGCTCCTCCAGCGGATTCCACTCATGGGCGCGGACCTCCGTGAGCTCCGTGTCTGCCTCCCCGAGCCGCTTCCGAGGCGCCGGGACCGCCTCCAGCACCGACTCGCTAGACACCCTGAGCAACGGGCCGGAAGGCTGCATGGTGGTGGCGCGCAGCGAGAAGGAGCAGCTGCAGGCGCTGAACGACCGCTTCGCGGGCTACATCGACAAGGTGCGGCAGCTCGAGGCGCATAACCGCAGCCTGGAGGGCGAGGCAGCGGCGCTGCGGCAGCAGCAGGCGGGCCGCGCCGCCATGGGCGAGCTGTACGAGCGCGAGGTGCGCGAGATGCGCGGTGCGGTGCTGCGCTTGGGCGCGGCGCGCGGCCAGCTGCGCCTGGAGCAGGAGCACCTGCTGGAGGACATCGCGCACGTGCGCCAGCGCCTGGACGACGAGGCCCGGCAGCGCGAGGAGGCCGAGGCAGCGACGCGCGCACTGGCCCGCTTTGCGCAGGAGGCCGAGGCGGCGCGCGTCGAGCTGCAGAAGAAGGCGCAAGCCCTGCAGGAAGAGTGCGGCTACCTGCGGCGTCACCACCAGGAGGAGGTGGGCGAGCTGCTCGGCCAGATCCAGAGCAGCAGCGCAGCGCAGACGCAGGCCGAGGCGCGCGACGCCCTCAAGTGCGACGTGACGTCGGCCCTGCGCGAGATCCGCGCGCAGCTTGAAGGCCACACAGTGCAGAGCACGCTCCAGTCCGAGGAGTGGTTCCGAGGTTTGCAGGCGCGGGGGGCGGGCAGGGAGGAGGGCCGCCCCCTGGTGGTCGGACATCGAGAGGCAGGGTGGTGTGACCTGGGGGGCGGTGGAGTCCGCCTAGAGGGCTAGGCTGGATGGTGCGGTTGCTCAGGTTCCCTCTGCAAAGGGCACACCCCTTAGCTAAAAAACAGTTTTACTCTAGGTCTCTTGTGGGACGCTCCCCGCCTCTTCCTCCCCACTCTAGGTTCTCCTTTGGCCTTCTCCAGGGTCCTTGTATCTGTCCTTTAATTCTCGGTCCTCTCTGCTCCTTCTCCCAAGTCAGGGTAACCGCCCACTGTGAGTCCCCCTTCCAACAGGTTCGCTCTACCGCTCCAAAGCGGTGCCGGCTTCTAGTCAGCTGGGGACGGGGAGGTCCCTCTTTGCCCTTCAAAGTAACATCCCTTCCCTGTCCAATGCTGCCCATCCCCCTTTTCTGCACACTGCAGGGGGCCCTATTCTCCTGACACCTATCAGGCCCCTCCCGGCTACAGTCGGAGAGCGTGAGTCATTCTCACATTCTCTCTCCCCAGAAAGGCCATCATTACAACCAATTGGTGTGTGAGGCTGAAGTGGCCAGGGGGCCCTTGAATGTCCTCTCTCCCCTTCAGAAAACCTGGGAGCCTCCCAAATCCATCTCCCTCCCCCACCTCCGGGCCACCCTGAGTCAGCTAGGTTGCAGCTGCCGCAGCTCTGAAGCTGTGTCCAACACCTGCAGGGTGACTTTGACCCACACTCGCCCTCTCTGGTTTTCATTCCTTTTGGGGTTAGAAGCGGGATGGACCAACTGGGCTTCTTAGCTTGGGGAGTTCCATGCTCCTTAAAACTTCTGCATTGTTCTTGGGAGAGGGTACAGGGGCTTCAGTGACTTTCAGAGAAGCCTGTGACCCACAGTGGGTAAGAATCCTCACCCATTTGGATGGTCTCTAAGTCTCTGGAAGCACTAGGAGAGAAAACCAGAAAAGCTGGGGTTTGGGTGCATGGCTTTTCCAGTCCCTGCCTCTCCTCTGCGGTAGCAGAACCACCCCTCCCCCATCTCTGCAGCAGCAAGCCTCCTCCCAGAGCAAACCTCCCTGCCCTCTTGGACTTTGCCCTTCACCCTGGCAGACCATCCCAGGACTTCTGGATCACTCTTCTTCCTCTCCAGCTCCCAAGACTCAGGTCCTGAGTATCATTATCTCAGCGTTCAGGATGCTCACAGTCAGGAGGTTCACACTAGATCTCTAGACCTCCTCTGGCCCCAGAAGCCTTCTGGGAACCTGCAGCCTGTTGCTCACAGAGGCCAGGCTGTGGCTGCCCTCGGCACAGGGGCTTCTGTGCTAGAGAACATGCAGTCACGGGGAGGAAGGGACAGAGGCGCTGGCACACGAGCCCCAGCCTCCACAGGGATCTGGGCTCTGCTATGGCTACACAGCTCCCAGAGCCCTAGTGCCTCTAAAGGTCATAGGCTCATTACTTTGTTCAACCCCAAGCTTGAGGTTAAGCTCCACGGGCCAGGTTTCATAACCCCCAGCACTGCCAGCCTTTGCTGGGGAGCTGAACCAGAAGCACCAGAAGAAATAGCGGCTTCTATTGCTGTGCAAGACCTGAGGCCTGCGTTTGGGGAGTCAGGGTGTGATCTTTGGAGCCAGATTTGAACCCCAGTCCTGCTGCTCAAACTGGCCTACTGGCCTTGGGCAGTGTCATGTGCCTGTCACAAAGGACAGGATGAGTGAAGCATCCAAAATAGCAGCTGGCACTCAGAAGGTCCTTAACCTGTGTGTGGCCCCTTCCAAATCCAGTTGTGTCTAACCCTGTGCCCTGCCCCCCTCTCCCCCAGTGAGGCTGGACCGACTGTCAGAGGCAGCCAAGATGAACACAGACGCCATGCGCTCAGCACAGGAGGAGATATCTGAGTACCGGCGCCAGCTTCAGGCCAGGACCACAGAGTTGGAGACGCTCAAAAGCACCAAGGACTCGCTGGAGAGGCAGCGCTCTGAGCTGGAGGACCGTCACCAGGCTGACATCGCATCCTACCAGGTGGGCGGGGTGGGGCAGAAAGCCAGACCACCTCACCTGGCTGGGTGACCCTGGACAAGTCACTGTCCCTCTCTGAGTGGAGAGCATGGGCCTTAGAGTCAGACATGCCAGGGGTATCTGTATGTCTTTGTAGCTGTGTGACCCTAAGAAAGGTATCTGCTTCTCTCTTTGACTCTGAATTCTCTCAATGCAATTAAAAAAAAAAAGCCTCCTTTGTAAAACTATGAAGATTAAAGAGAGAGATGAACTTCTGATGAGATGAGTGAGAGATAGCAGAGTCTTGGTTGTGGTGGGTGTTCAGTAAGCAGTAACCAGGGTCTGAGTGAGGACAGGCTGGGAAGGCCTCAGCAGATACCTCCCACTAAAGACAATGATTGAAAGAAAGTGTCTAAAAATTGTTTTAGAGAACTTACTATACAAGCAGTATGTGGTTATTGTAGAAAAAGAGGTTGATTTTTCATCAGCCACGATGGTTTACTGTAAGCAGTGGCTCAGTGGGCTTGGGGTTGGGGGGAAGCTCCAGCTCGTGTTTAGCGTGCTTCTGTGTATTGTCTCAGTCATCACTAACAGTTGCCTCCCGAGCCTTTAACGTGAGGTGCTTTGGAGCGCTGGGCAGGCAATAGGGAGCCAAAGCAGACGAGTTCCCACTGAGCCCTTTCTAAGCTTAAGATCTGTAAAATTCACCCGTCAGCCCACTGACCTGTGATAGCCGTGGTCAGTGTCTGGTGTGTCTCATTCCAGAGCACTCCCCAGGCTGAGGTTACACACACAGCAGGATGTTTGTTCCAGGTCCATGAATGAGGTCCTGAAGCTTTCACAAGGTGGGGGCTGGCCGGGACTGTGTTGGGTATGCAGAGCCCGCCCTAGCCTCGCTGGTGCCGAGGGCCCGTGGTGACTGACAGTAACGTGTGTGTGACCTCTCCCCCCCAGGAGGCCATCCAGCAGCTGGATGCAGAACTCAGGAACACCAAGTGGGAGATGGCAGCCCAGCTCCGAGAGTACCAGGACCTGCTCAATGTCAAGATGGCTCTGGATATTGAGATCGCTGCTTACAGGTGAGGGGGCCACGGGGCCTTTGGGTGGTGGCAGTCCTTGTGTTCTCAGAAGGAGAAGCCTTGGATTTTAAGCTCCACAGTGAGATAACCTGCTGTCTTAGAGATAAAAAAAAAAAAACAAAAAACTTTTTTTTCCTTACTGTCGTGAAATGTATACAGCATGAAATTTACCATTTAGCCATTTTAAAGTATTCAGTTCAGTGGCATTAAAACTATTTACATTGCTGTCCAGCCATCACTGTCATCTACCTCCAGAATATTTTTCCTCTTCCCACACTGAAATTCAGTGCTCATTAAACAATAACTCCCTGATCCCTTCCCCACCTTCCCCCGAGTCCTGGCCACCATTGTTCTATCTTCTAAGAAGCAAATATCTTGAGAGTGGCTTAGAGGGTCTGACAGTGATTTAGAGGGTTAAAGCTTCCCACCCTCTTCTCAGATTCAGCCAACCAGAGGCCTGTCTTGGGAGAGAAAGAAGGGACTTGAGTTGTCAAGGACCTTTACAACTCTACCTCTTCAAGAGAGTCTTTTCATTATTTCATTGAAACCACCCTCTGAGGTAGAAACTCTTAATGACCCTGTTTTTACCAATGAGGAGACTGAGGCTTGAAGAGTTTAAATGGCTTTGCTAATAAGGTCACACTTCTAGTGGGTAGGGAAGAGTAGAGACTCTGCCCCTACTCTATTCCTAAAATTCAAAGGATGAGAATATAACAACAGACCCTTGAAATTCAAATGGGAGCATTCTAATACCTTTAAAGCCCAGGTTTATAAATGTGGAATTTCTTGCTCATATTCCCACCTTTCTCTTAAACAACGTTTTTTTTTTTTTTTCCTTAAACAACATTTTGAGGGACAATACATGTAAATTTTTTAATATAGGTGTTCTCTCTTGAGGGCCATTTTTCAGAGGAAAAAGTTTTATAAGTGGTAGCCTTAGTTGAATTAAAACAAGAGCAATGCCATTGGGGTACAGATTCTGGTTGTCCTTGGGATGATCTGCTAGTGACCTTCTCCAGTCTAAGTGCCCACCATTCACACCCCTTCTTCCACCAAACTATGTATCACTACACATAGGGGGTCTTCAGAGTAACTCAGGAAGCCCCCTACCTCAGTGATCAACTTTGAGTTAATAGTAATGTGTTCCATTTATTCTGCAGAAAACTCCTGGAGGGTGAGGAGTGTCGGATTGGCTTTGGCCCAAGTCCTTTCCTCCTTCCAGAAGGACTCCCCAAGATCCCCTCCGTGTCCACTCACATCAAAGTCAAAAGTGAAGAGAAGATCAAGATGGTAGAAAAGTCAGAGAAGGAAACTGTGATTGTGGAGGAACAGACAGAGGAGGTCCAAGTGACTGAAGAAGTGACTGAAGAAGAAGAGAAAGAAGCCAAAGAGGAGGAAGGAGAAGAAGCAGTAAAGTCTCCCCCAGCAGAAGAGGCCGCATCCCCAGAGAAGGAGGAGGCCAAGTCCCCAGCTGAGGTGAAGTCCCCCGTGGAGGCCAAGTCCCCAGAGAAGGCCAAGTCCCCTGTGAAGGAAGAAGCCAAATCCCCAGAGAAGGCCAAGTCCCCAGTGGAGGCCAAGTCCCCAGAGAAGGCCAAGTCCCCTGTGAAGGAGGAGGCCAAGTCCCCAGAGAAGGCCAAGTCTCCTATGAAGGAGGAGGCCAAGGCTCCTGGGAAGGAGGTCCCAAAGAAGGAAGAGGCCAAGTCCCCTGTGAAAGAGGAAGAAAAACCCCAGGAGGTGAAAGCCAAAGAGCCCCCAAAGAAGGCAGAGGAAGAGAAAGCTCCAGCCACACCCAAAGCAGAGGAGAAGAAGGACAGCAAGAAAGATGAGGTGCCCATGAAGGAGGCTCCAAAGCCCGAGGAGAAGAAGGAGCCTGCTGTGGAAAAGCCCAAAGAACCCAAAGCTGAAGCCAAGAAGGAAGAGGCTGAAGATAAGAAAAAAGCAACCACCCCAGAGAAGGAGGCTCCTGCCAAGGGGAAGGAAGAGGCTAAGCCTAAAGAGAAGACTGAGGTGGCCAAGAAGGAACCAGATGATGCCAAGGCCAAAGAACCCAGCAAAGCAGCAGAAAAGCCAAAGAAGGAAGAGACGCCGGCAGCACCGGAGAAAAAAGATGCCAAGGAGGGGAAGGCCACAGAAGCCAAGAAGCCTGAGGAGAAACCCAAAACAGAGGCCCAAACCAAGGAACCCGGCAAGGAGACCTCCACACCCGGGAAAGCCAAGGCTGAGAAATCCTCCAGCACAGACCAGAAAGACAGCAGACCTGCAGAGAAGGCTGCAGAAGATAAGGCCACCAAGGGAGAGAAGTAAGGCAGGGAGAAGGGATCGTTCAGAGCAGCCAAAGAAACTCAGGGGGGTCTGGGAGCTCAAGGGTCAGTATCACAAATTTTCACTTTTTTCTCTCTTTTCTTTAAGAAGAAACTCTGCTTAGACAACAGGCCCTCCTTCACCAAACAGGAATTTCTATTAGCAATATGTTAGCAAGAGAGGGTCCTCCCAACTCCCAGCCCCATGGCCCAAACCCTCCCTAGGCGATGGGCAATTATGTTATGATAGCTTATGTAGCCGAATGTGATATATGCCGAATGCCACACGTAAACACTTGACTATACAGACTGCCCCCTCCTCTCCAAATAAGTGCATTTATTTCCTGTATGTGCAACTGACAGATGACCGCAATAATGAATGAGCAGTTAGAAACACATTATGCTTGAGATGTCTTAACCTATTCCTGAATGCCTTCTATTTTCCAAAGGGGTGGTCAAGTCCTTGCCTAAAAGCTCTCTGTTCCGGAAGAGCTGCAGCAGGTGGGGCTGGGCGCTGACCACTGTACCACGCCAGGGCGCACTTTTCCACTGGAGTCCACTTTCAATTGCTTCTGTGCAATAAAACCAAGTGCTTATAAAATAGAAATGTGACTGTTGTCATTTCTTCTTTTCCCCTGGACGGGCTGGGGGATGGGCAAGGGAGGTCTTAATTTTACACTTGAGAATGCACGGGACTGGGCGGGAACAGGAAATTGCACGTCTGGGACTGGTTATGAGGCTGCTCTTGGGCTATTTCCTGGGCACCAACCCAGGCACTGTGCTCAGTGCTTTGAAATCTTATAAACAGGTGGCCCGGTGTGTGGTTTCTCCACAAGGTCCATGTACCCCCTACATAAGCATCTGGGCACCTTATAAACATGCAGACTCCTTTATTCCACCCTAGACCACTGAATTAGAATCTGAGGGGCTAGCCTGGACACTGCAGGCTTCACCGATTCCCACTTGGTTCTAACTCACACTGAATTCTGGGGACGGGTGAGGTCCTGGGGACATGGAGCCATCTATTTAAGAGCTTTGCATATGTCCTTGTTTCGTAAGGAGGGATGAGCTTTCTGAATGAGGGGCTGTATGTAGCTAATCCACCTTGTAGTGAAGACTACAGTCACCACTATTGGGAACAATTTGTTAATAGTCACCTAACTGGACTCCAACATGCTTCTCTGGACATGCTTTTGAAACCTGCAGTGCTCCTGTGGATTTATGTGGGGTCTTTAATGTAAAATTTTGACCTCACGACTTCCTTCTAATAATTAGAATATGGCAAAGTGATGGGATGTCATTTCTGAGAGTAGATTACAAAAAAATTCTGGCTTCTGTTTTGTTTGTTCACCCTTGCTCTCTCACCTGGTCATTCTGCTGGAAGCCAGCTGCCATGCGGTAAGCTGCTCTGAGAATAAGGGCGGGAGTGGAAAGAGGCCTCTGGCCAACAGCCAGTGAAGAACGACGGCCCTCAGAACAAAAAGAAACTGAATCCTGCCAACAACCACACTGTAGAACATGGACAAAGATCCTCCCTTGCTGAGCCTTCAGACGAGACTGCAGCCCCAGACAACACCCTGATTGTAGCTTTCTGAGAGGCCTTAGGGGAGAACTGCCCAGCTAAACTGCACCTGGATGATAGATGTCTGCTGTTTTAAGCCACTAAATTTTGGAGCAATATGTTACATAGACAATATGGCTTTGACATCATAGGGAAACATGATACGTATTAGAGTTACAAGGGCTCTCATGAATCATTGTCTCAGCCAATGTCTACAGAAGACACGAAGGGACTTGTCCAGACTAGAATTCAGCTCATCAGTTTCGGTCACCACTTAGTGGGCATCCCCAAGAACTGGGCCCTGGACTACACATTTTATGTCCACTAATAGCCCAGTGGAGTGAGTGCTACTGAACTTGCATTTCTCAGTCGAAGAATCTGAGGCTCAGAGAAGCAGACCTTGCCCAAAGTCCAGAACCAGGAAGAGGTGGTGCATGGATTTAAATTCAGACCTGTCTGACCACAGAACCCAGGCTCGTCCTTACTCAGCGGTCCTGCCACCATCCTCTCAGGATGGGTTACGTGGCCACCCCTAAAGCAGGTACTGGAGGCATTTAGATGATCTCCTCGTGGTGGCCCCAAATGGCACAGGCAGGGCAGAAGGATATGACCAGGATACCCTCTCTCTTCTGCTGTTGGCCAGAGGCCTCTTTCCACTCCTGACCTTTTGAAGGCTTATCCTCAGGGCAGCTTACCACATGGCAGCTGGCTTCCAGAATGACCAGGTGAGACAGCAAGGGAGAACAAGCAAAACAGAAGCCAGAATCTTTTTGTAATCTACTCTCAGAAATGACATGGACATGCTCCCAGTGCTGTAGGCAGGAGTCACTGATCAGACATCAACCAGACTGACTTTAACCATCTGCCAAACAAAATCATCCTCCCTCTGGGAGGATAACAAACCTTAGGAAAAACCAATAGAGTCAATTTACCATGGAATTGCTTGTCAGACCTGTTAGAGGCCTGGGGGACATGGGTGGAATGTGGACGGAGCCGACTGCTTTAGGATGATGTGCCCTTCCTGCTGGCTAGCTGTTAGCTCTGCAGATACAGCTGGGTTGATGAAAAACATCCTTTATTTTCCCCCAGGGAGACTGTTTCAGAAAGGAGAGGTTAGGTTCTGTCTGTAATGATAAACAACTACATCTCACTGGCTTAACACAAAAGAAAGCATCTTACTCATTTATGCTATACACCCCTGGGGGGGCTGGCAGGGGTCTCTGTTCATGGTAGGTCGCTCGCGGACCCAGCTAACAGGGAATCCATCTAGAACCAGGCTTCCAAGTTCACTGAGGCAGGGGTGAGTGGATGTGGCAAGTCAGGCAGGGGCTCACTCTTCAAGCTTCTGCCTACAAGTGATACAGGTCTCCTCTGGCAACATTTCATGGGCCAAAGCAATCCACGTGCTTATATCTCACATCAGAGGGGGTGGGCAGAGTCATCTTACCAAGTGTGGAGGGAGGACAGTGGGAATCCTTTTAGGGGGAAACAAAATACTTTAATACTTGCTACTGATATTTAATAATGATTCATAAACATTAGCTTACATAAACAAGCAGTTCAAGAAGGCTGACTTGTTTCACATACAGCTAGATCCAAGGGAGATTCTCAAGTGATGTCCCCAGGATGCTGTTACTTGTTCTCCATCTCTCAGCTGTCTTCCTCTATAGAGGCTTCATTCTCAGGCAGGACTTCTCCACGTGATCTCTAGAAGCTTCAGGCTTACATCCCATCTGCTTAGTAAACTCTGGAGGTCAGGGTTAGGGGTGGGAAAAACTCATTTTCAATATTCCAGGAAAAGTCCAGGGTTTGTTCTTACTGGGTCCCTCAAACTGAAACTTAGAGTTTGGGAGATGTGTTCTGAAAGGAAATTAGAGGACCGTTACCAGAAGAAACCTGGGTAGGAAAGATCCTCTGGAGAAGGGAATGGCTCCCCACTCCAGTCTTCTTGCCTGGGAAATCGCATGGACAGAGGAGCCTGGCGGGCTACAGTCCATGGGGTCGCAAAGAGTGGGACACAACTGAGTGACTGACTCTTCCACTTTTTCACTTCACCAGCAGCAATGATAAACAGCCACAGTGGCTTGAGCGCTTGTAGCAGAAGATCCAAAATAGCAGTAACACCCAGTTGTCCGTGGGTGTGCAGAGAATCCTGAACTCCCTGGAACTAATGGTTGGAAAGGAAATTGAAAAAACTTTCCGGGAAGGCAACCTAATGAGATGTATCAAAAACCTTACAAGCTTAGATACTATAACGAAAGTATGCCACTTTAAGGAATGTATCCTAAATAAGCAGGTACAGAAATACTAAAAATACAAAATATATTCACTTTATGTTTTAGAAAAATGAAAAATACTTTGAATATACAATAATAGGAGATTGGCTAAATAAATTACATCTATGTTAGTAAACGTATGGCAGAAAAAAAGAAAGTAAGTTTTTAATATAACAGTAATTTGTATCAGGCTTCCCTGGTGGCTCAGTGGTAAAGAATCCGCCTGCCAATGCAGGAGACAGGGTTTTGATCCCTGGTCCAGGAAACATCTCACAAGCTGAGGAGTAATAGCCCACACACCAAAACTACTGAGGCTGTGCCCTAGGGCCCGGGAGCCGCGGGCTCCTGAGGCCTGTGCCCTAGGGCCCGGGAGCCGCGGGCTCCTGAGGCCTGTGCACCCTAGAGCCGGTGCTCCTCAACAAGAGAAGTCATCCCAAAAAGCCTGCAACCACAGAGTAGTCCCTGCTCGGTGCAACTAGAGGTAAGCCCGAGCAGCAGAAAAGACCCATATAAATAAATAAAACTGTAAAAAGTAATTTATGTCAGTGAGACCTAACAGGTTATCCACAGAACACTCCATGCAACAACAGCAGAATACACATTTGTCCTCCAGCACACATGGAGCATTCTCCAGGACAGACCATGTATCTTAGGCCATAAACAAGGCTCAATAAATTTAAAAGCATTGGAAATGGGCAAAGTGTTTCCAATCACAATGGAGTAAAATTAGCAATTAATAAGAGAAAGAAATCTGGGAAAGTCGCAAATATGTGGAAATTAAACAAAACACTCCTAAAAAGTCAAAAGATCAAAAAAGAAACTGCCAGGGAAATTAGAATATGCTCTGAGATGAATGAAAATGAAGATGTAACATATGAAAACATACTGGACAGAGCTAAAGCAATGCTTAGAGCGAAGCTTCCAGTTGTAAATGCCTCCATTTAAAGAGAAGAAAGATCTCAAGTCAATAATCTAATTTTCTACCTTAAGATAATGGAAAAAGAGCAAACTAAACCCAAAGCAGGATTAGAATAGAAATGAATGAAACAGAGAATTGAAAAATAAGAAAAAAAATCAATGAAGTCAAATATTTATTCTCTGAAAGATCAACCATACTGACAAACCTGTAGCTAGACTGATGAAGAAAAAAAGAGAAAATACTCAGATTATCAAAGGCAGTACTGAAAGACAGAACATTAATACTGACCTCACAGAAATAAAAAGGATTATTAAGGAATGCTGTGAGCAACTGTATGTCTACTCATTAGATAATTTTAAGTAAATGAAAAAATTCCTAAAAAAGACATAAACTACTGAAAACTAACTCAAGAGGAAACAGAAAATCTGAATAGGCATGCCTTACAAATAGAGTAAGGCATTAAGTAACTAATTACAAATTAGTAATTTGAAAACTCCCCACAAGAAAATGTTAAGGCCAATGGCTTCACTGATGAATTTACCAAACATTTAGAGAAGAATTAACACCAATCCTTCTCACACTTCCAAAAAATAAAAGAGGAGGGAACACTTTCTAACTCATCTTTGGAGGCCTGTGTTACCCTGATACCGAAGTCAAAGAACCACAACAAAACTACAGACTAATATCCCTTGTGAAATATAGATGTAAAAATCCTCAGCAAATGCAAAAAGACAAATCCAATAACATATTTAAAAAGTTATACACAATTGTCAAGGGGAATGGTTCTATATAAGAAAATCAATTAAGATACCCCCCGAAGGAAATGCAAAAAAATGAAGGAAGTGAAAAAAAAATCAAGATGCATATAGCATATCTGTGGGCAAAAATGGACCCAGCTGGTCAATCTGACACCAAGCTGTACCTCTTGACCACCACAGCACTCTTGGTGTACCTGTGTTGCTGAAATGAATAAATGGCCCAGCGAGAGTGCTGGCTTGCAGCTATGCTAGCCCGAAGCTATTCTTGTGGAAAGGGAAGCCTTGGAGGCAGACAAACTTGCTGGGCTTGCACCTTGGGTGGGCAGTTCAAGAACCCTGTGAGCAACGCACAAGTCATTTAACCTTCTGAGCCTGTTTCCTCATTTGTAAACATGTAGGGAATGTGCACCCTTGGCCATGTGTTGTAATTAAACAAGACAGTGGATGTAAAATCATGATTAGCCCAGGGCCTGACCCAAAGTAGATGCCTGACACCTCTTTGATCTCAACAGAGAGGCTGCTGAATACCATGGAAAGGCCAGAGCTGGGGCTACGCAGACAGGGAGGAAAGTTCCTTTGGAAGCCTAGGCAGCTCTGCTTCACTCTATGGATAAGGCTTTTAGCTTTGTGATCAGTAGGAATGCTCTTATAACAAAAGGCGTCTTTGGAGTATTTGCTGAGAAAATGATTGGCAGGGGACGATTGGAAAAAGGGTCAGGAGAGACTAGGAGATACTGAGAAACCAAGAATATGGGGAGCAGCTTTAAAAAGGCAAGGACCCTGGGCTGAGTCCGAGGTGTAGGAGGATGACAGAAAGGGGCTGCTGTATGGGATGTGGTCCAGCGAAGCTCAAGGCCAAGAAGGAAGCTTTGAGGTCCTCCCAAACCAGGCCTCCCAAACCCTTCCCCCTAATCTGCCCACTGGAGACAAAAATGGCTCAGTTCAGTAGCTCAAAGGGGCTGGATTGTCTTGGGCTTCTCACTAGTTTTAAAACCCTACTTCTTAAGGACAAAGGATTCTTTTGTTCAGTTTGCTCCTTTGAAGGGGGGAAAATCTCTTCTAGAGGGTGCCTGGCTCTGACATCTCCTGCCCAGGAAGCAGAGCCTCCTTCCAGCCCTCACAGGCTGTCTCTGCAACCTTGTCCCAGCTCTCAAGAGCCGAGCTTGTGTGCTGAGTCAGTCTGGCCGCCTTCCAGCCAAGAACAGAGTGGAGGCTGCAATGCAGGGGCCATCAAAGGAACTATTTTTAGGCCCCATTTCAATCTTATTCAGCACAGGCAGTGAGACACAAGGCTTGAAGGTGGCCAGACCAAGCGGGATGCCGGCAGAGATCGTCTCAGGCAAGTAGGTCAGGGAAAAGACAAAGAAATCTCAGTACAGGAGAGAAGTGCCCAGAGGCTCATGCCACTGTCCAAGAGGCAAGAGACACAAGAGGGGTGCTTCTGACAGGGAATCATTACTGCATTGTTGGAGGAGTCACAAGAAAAAACGCGGAAAGTGCAGCAACTTCCAAAAAGAGACTAGGACAAAGTGTACCTGGGGAGCTCATTAAAAATACACTTCCCTGGCCCATCTTAGGTCGACTGAGTCCAGATATTAGAGTGGGGCGCGGAAACGTGTATTTCTAATCTGCTCCCATGGTGGGTGATTCTCACACACAATACAGTTCAAGGACCCGTGGGCTGGAGAGCATCTACCTCTGGAATTTAAAGGGATGATCCAGGCCGAGGGGAGGGAGAAGCCCCGGAGGAGCCTTCTCCTCTCCTCACTGGGCTCAGGCTTCTGTCAGTAAACAGCAGGGCCCTGGGGAGGCCAAGAACCTCCTAGACTCTGCCTCAGAAAATCCTTGTCACAGGGATGCTCAGAGATCAGCTGAGAAGACAGGAGGAAACCGCTCTTACACCAGAGGTCCACAGTCTCCAAGGGTAACCGGTAAAATTCCATTTAGAGGGGCCCTTCCTGGAGGTCCAGTGCTTAAGACTTCACCTTCCACTGCAGGGGGTGTGGGTTCAACTCCTGGTTTGGGAGCGAAGATCCCATATGCCTTGTGGCCAAAAAGCCAGAACACAAAGTAAAAGATTGTAATAAATTCAACAAAGACTTTTTAAATGGTCCATATTGAAAAAAAAAAAAATCTAAAAAAATTCCATTTATAGTGGAAACCAAATTCAAAGCATGTTATGAGAAGGAAAAAATCCATGTGATTGGGACTATCACGGTTAAGTAAGATTTAAGTATATTGATGTTTTTGTTGTTAGATTTATGTATGTTGAAAGTTGCTAAGACAATAGATCTCCAAAGTTCTTAGCCCCACACAAATCTCCTCCCTGCCCCATTTATGTAAGATGATGGATGTGTTAACCTTATTGCAGTAATCATTTCTCAATGTACCATGTATCATATGATCCCTCTGTACACCTTAAACTTATATAGTTATATGTCAATTATATCTCAATAAAGCTGGAAAAATAAACTTTATTTCATTTTTTAATTAGTGAACTTTATTCCTGCAACTCTGTAATAATGCTTCAGTATTTTTTACGTCTTTGTATCTTATTACTGAAACCAGGAGTTGAGTACTGATTTTTTGGTGGGGGGATGGGGAATAATTTTTCTGACAAAACTGTTTAAGAACACTCTATGCTATCCTTGTTTCTGTTTGACCTTTGCAGAATTACAAAGGAGACTGTTTTTAAACATTAGAGGGGGTTACCTATTTCCTCGGGTTTCCCTGGTGGCTCAGAGGTTAAAGCGCCTGCCGGCAGTGCGGGAAACCTGGGTTCCATCCCTGGGTGGGGAAGATTCCCTGGAGAAGCCTGGTGGGCTACAGTCCACAGGGTCGCAGAGAGTCGGACACAACTGAGCGACTTCTCCTAATCCTCTGAGAATCAAACCATTATTTTCTGAGGTTCCTACTGTGCCCTCACAGTGAAGCCTCTCCTCTGGAGTCACCTGCTCTCACGCTGCCAGAGCATCACTGGACAGCAGCTCTGCATGAGACCCTCTGACATCACTCTCATCAACTTCACGACACCCTGTGAGATTCACAATTATTCTCTGGGACGTACTGCGCTGCCAGATGTTTGTAACATCCACCAGTCAGGGGAATTTGGCCGCTGGAGACACTGACAGGGTCAGAGTGAGGGGACAGGGGGAGAAGAGCTTTTGCTTTCTCTGCCATGCTGACTGTGGCTCCCCCTGCCACCCGCTCACAGCAGGGACTTGGCTGACAAACGTGAAGACTGAGGGCCCGCGGCAGAACCGGACTCCTCCTCTCTCTGCTCTCCTCGGCCAGCCAGGGAAAGCTAGCCACACGTGCGCTGTCACACCGCGCCTTGCCCCCACCTGCCCTTTCAGACTGCAAAGCCACCCCCTCCCCCAAGGAGCCGCAGACAAAGGCCGCTTGGTCAGGTGACATTTTAATAGGCTAGAAATAGAAAACCTGTCCTGGGAGACTATCAAGAGCCACGTGTGCGCCCGAGCCGGAAGCAGAGGCGCAGCACTTAGGGTCTGTGGGGAAACAGGCTGAGCGCGATGTCAACGGTGGCTGAAGAATCCTTGAGGGTGGTTATATTTAAACGGCTTCATCCTGCTGGGACCCCTAGAGAAACAGGAGAAGGGAGGCCAGTTAACACCGTAACCTTTGGGTTGATATGATGAATGCATCCACACAAGGGACTACGATGAAGCTGTTAAGAGGGGGAAAAAAAAGACTGGTGTAAGGAAAGCAGACTGCAGAACAGCATGAAAGGTGTGACAGCAGTTCTGAAAAATCATCTTAATGTGCCTCCGAAGGCAGGGGCACAAGCCTGGAAGTGCCCACTGACGATGGGCACTCTAGGGGGTGGGGGGCTTGGGTACCCTTACTGTTTACGGTGTTTTTACACAAATGTTTCTGTTTTTATGTTTAACAATAAACATGTTTTATGTCTATGATTAAAAAAAAAATGTTAAATCCTCCTTTGTACGGAGATTCCCAAGCAGGTAGGAGTTTATGTGGGAAAAGAATCTGCACTAAGTGTCTGCCAAGGGCCTTATGCTTTATACTCGCTACTTCTGAGATGCTATTTCTATAATTTCAAAGATTTTAAATGAAGATGTAGGCTTAGGGATGTGAACTACCTGATATTAGCAAGTCAGAAAGTCTCACAGACCAAATTCAAAATCAGGTCTGATGCTAAAGCCTGCTGGCACAAGAGGCTGACACTCACAGCCAAAGCCTGGACCCTGTGACATTTAGGTGCTTCAGCTCAAGTCTTGGGCCCCTGAGCAAAACTTGACACAGGGTTCTTCTCCACACGACTCCATGGTGAACAATGTCCAGCTAAAGGGCCACTTTCATTCTTCTGCCTGTGACTGACATTCAGTTGTAACCAGAAGGTGACACCTTGGATCTTGGTCTGAGGGAGGGTGGGTGAGAGGCAGTGTGGGTGTTTGCCGGAGGGAGACCGTATATCATTTTTTTTCCCCACACTGCACAGAATGGCCTTAAAGGAGGGCTTACTCTGCTTGCACCGTGCTTGGCCCTTGATAGGCTCCCATGGTTTAATCTCATCCTCCCAACACCACCTGAGTGGACACAGCTTTACTGATGAGGAATCAGCTCAAGATGCACTAGGCACAGACCCTAATCACAGAGGCAGCAGCTGCAATTTGAACCAAGGCCTTTCTGGCCCCAAAGTCTTTTCTTAAAATGATGTCATGAACCTTCCCAACACCAGAAGGGTACAGAATCAAGTACAGGTAGAGTCTAAGCGTACAGCTGATGGAGACCCCACAGCCTGAAGGCAGCCAGCCCCGGGCAGAGCCAGACCTCGAGTCTCCGGTGGCCCAGGCCAGCCCTTTGCAGCCCAGACCTTTGACCTGATCCCGGTGGTGAGGGGGACTCCACACCAAGAACCTCACATCCCACATCTCATCAGTCATGGAATTAACTGGATCCGGAAAGCCAAAGGAGCACCTTCCCAGAACACACTGACAGATGAGTGCAGCCTGGGGAACAAAGCACTTCAGGAAATGGGTCTGGGAACCATCAGAAAAGCAAAGAATAAACACTGGCTGTTGAGAACTCCCACCTTGGAAATGTGCTGCAGCAGGCTGGGAGTGGGGAAGAGCTGAGGCCTCACACTGACAGAGTGGGGAGAGTAGTCCCAGGACAGGACGCCATCTAGCCGCCAGCCCCACCACGCAGCCGCGGTGGGCTGCAGCTGGTTATCGTCAGCCAGCACGGGGAGCCAGGCCAGGCGGAAGGGCCAGACGGAGGCGGGAGGACGTGGGACAGCCTCTGGGGCAGAGGCCAGCTGCGTGAGAAGGTGAGGGCAGGCAAGGCACCTTCCAGACTGACAGAGAACACAGCCACGCCCCCATTAGATACAGACTGTAGCCCTCTGTGACACCATTCCTCGCCAGCCCCCTGCCCCAAAGGGAAGGGTGGGCTCCAGGGTTCTGAAACTGACTCGAAGAACAAGACCACAAGTTAAGGGATGAAAGCGAAGGGAAGGACCTGACTCCAAAGCGGAAGGAAAAGCAGCCAGCAGTGCGGGGCCTGCAGACACACTAAATACCAAGCTGCCAGGGCCTGCTGGCATTTTCTGAGGCTCCGTCCGTGCCAAGATCCATTCTGGAAGGTCTACATGAACTACCTCTGCTTCATCATGACTTAGAAGGTAATACTTCCGTTTCAGCTTTTGGGAAAGGCTCAGAGCTGAGCTGAAGTGACTCTTTCAGTCACCCAGCTGGTGAGCAGGACAGCGGAGGTCTGCACTGTGTGTGTGTTATTTCACAGCTGGCTCCTCTGTGACGCCCAGCTGCCTACAGCTGTGATCCTCCTGGACGTGGGAGCACTGTGGAGCGTACAGCAGGCTCTGGGGGCTGGTGGCAGGCATGTGTAGTCTGTATACAGGGCTACAGCCTGCATCTAATGAGGACACCCCTGTGTTCTCTCTAGTTCACAAAGTTCATTTGAATCATAAAAAACAAACCTACTGGCTCCCACAGAAAGCAGAGAAAGGGAAGGTTAGTCAAGTCCTCTTGCTCACTCAGCATGAGGCCCACCTCTGGGGTGTATGCATGATGAACAACTAACTGGACTGGGCTGGCAGGACAGGGGCCACAGGGCAAGTTTTAGGAAGGACAACGTGAGCTCCCTCCGGGAAACCTGGCAGCAGGATGTTAATTCCCACAGGGAAAGGAGACCAGAGCGCCCGAGGACGTGTGCCCTCTGTGCCAGGCTCACCCTGCCCCGCGTCCCTGTGAGGCAGGGCTGGAGGTCCCCGGGCCCCATCCCTCACCTGAAAAGCCGCAGACACATCTTCTCCTGGGGGAATTCTTTGGGCCCCTCCACGCTGTCGTCATGGCTCTCTGTCTCCAGGTAGACATCCAGCAGCACACACAGGCGCTGCAGCTGGTTGGTCAGAAGCTGGTGGCCCGGCCGCGGGCCACACAGCTCCTTGAAGCACACGTTGACCTCACTTTCCATGGCCTACGGGCGGGGAAGCCAGAAACTCAGCACCACTTGCAGGCCATCTGGGTCTCACGGTTTCACAAGAACCGAGCCTGGGCCTCTGCAGATCAAGCCAGGCTTGCTTGTCCTGAGGCGCCCGCTCCTCAAGACAATGGCGTCCTCCTGATCCTGACCCAGAACATTTCCTGCCTTGCATGTCCACGGCCAAAAAGAGCAAGATGGACAGAGGAAGAATCTCAAGATCAGATCCAAATGGTAAAGTGTTAGGGATCAAAGTGTGCTCCTTGGCTATGGAGTCAAATCCATGGGCATAACAGTAATTAACATGGGCAACGATTTCACATCTTGTCTCGTTCCCGTGCATCTGACATTTCCACATAAGCCTGAAACGACCTTTCAAGGCTGGTCTTTGTATTAGCCCCATTTTATAAGCAGGGTGAACCTGTGGACGACCCCAGGCTAGTAAGGAGTTGACAGAGGTCTGAGCCCTTCATTACACCTTGCAGCCTCCAGCATGTTCTACAATCCCAGCAGCATCTGCCTGGGAACTGCACCAGTGCCCAAGCCCCCAGCTACCACTGGTCCTGCGCCCCACCCCTACCCCCCAAGCCCCGGTCCAAGGAGGCTCTCCCTGCTCCTCCCGTCACCCGCCAAGGACCTTACCCGAATATTGTCATCATTATTGTTGGTTTTCTCCCCTTTCCAGTTCAGACAGAGTTGGAAAATGGGTGGGATGGAGGAGTAGCCGGGGTTTAGCACTACGGCAGCCTGGAGCTTAGCTGGGAAAGGTGGGGAGAGGAGGAAAACTCAGTTCTCAGAGTTGGCTTGCCAGCCACAAACACCTTCCCGCTGGAACCCTGAGGCCAGCGCTGTCTCTCCCATTAGCCCAGGTGTTCAGAGCACATTCTGCTACCAACTTTTACTTTCTGCCTAGAAACTCCAAAGCGGCTGCAAAAGGTGAGGTCCTGTGACTGGGCCTCAGGACGCAGAGGTGTGGGGACTCCTGAGTCTGGTTTGCCCAGTTCTATTTACTCCTTTGACAGAAGTTTGTTTTAACTGGCATTTATTTGCCAGCAGGTTAAGGGCTTTCCCAGTGAAGGCGCCCTATCTGTTTTTCAACATTATTGTATACTAGCCATCACATTATAGTCAAATATATTTTCTATATTCTGTTCTTTACTTTTATCTATTTTGTTATGTGAAGCTTTTTGATAGCCAGCATTTACTGAGTATCTACTGTTTTCCAAGCATAGTGCTGAGCCCTTTTTACGCACATTTTATTTCATTTTAATAACAATTCTTAGGTGCGTACCATTATTATCATCCCATTTTACAGTTAAAGAAACTGAGCCTCTGAAACTACCTAAAGATCATTAAACAGACACAAAACAGCAGTGCTGAATTTAACCAGAACTACCTGACACCAAAGCTGTGTATTCATAATCATTAAATGAAGTATTTGTATTTTTTAATGTACTTTTTTTTCTCTGGTGACAGCCTTCCCCGTTTTCAATACGGTAACATCCTCTCCATCTATGAGCTAAGTGTTTAGCCACTCTTTTTTCATTATTTATGAGGGTGGGGAATGAACTCTCTTACCCACTAGTAATTCAAATAAATTAATAGAGAATAAGAGAGTGTAGGTTAAGATAACTCTACCCTGATAGTCACAACAGTTACTAAAAAGTGACACTTTACTGTTGTTTCTGTCATAACAGTTTGGAACGTATTTTTGGGTTTATCTCTTGTCCACCGATTTTTTTGTTTTTAATCCATACTATGAAATTGTTGTCTACTCTTAAGTTTTCAAATTCTATTACAACACATTTAATAAAAATTTAAATGATCACATTCATCCTTTGTATGAATACAGAATATCTGTTATTTTTCCAAGCTCTTCCCCTTAACCAGGAAGCAAAAGTGATGTCTTCAATGATTTTGCACCCATGGGGCTTTGGAAATTTCTTGGATGCATCATCTGTGCCCTTTCAAAACAGCACTTTGTGTTATTTAGGGATGAGGTTTAAGTATTTTTTAAAAGGAGAAAAGACAGAAAGCAAATACAAAATTCCAAACAGCAGTCACCCCTCATGAGGGTGAGAATGAAGTAGGACCAAGGAGCCTCCACTGTATCTGAAGTTATCTAATTTCCTCAGAGTACTTCTAAAAACGTGAAAAGTGAAGAAACAGGGGTAGAGAAATGTGAACATCAAAGAGTGTAACTTTTCATTTCTCACACCATCTTGGAACTACAGACAACTCCCTCCACCCTGCAGCCTCGGCACCGAGCCCCTGGTGGGATCCGGTAGGCTGAGCCAGACCCGCAGAGGCTGGGGCTGGACGACAGCATCACAGGCACCACTGGGGTGGGTCCAGCTGGAAGCCCTGGCTGATCAGATGCCAGGACAGTGGTGAGGAGTCAAGAGCTCTGAATGCCTCCCCAAGTGAGTGCAGGGACTGCAGAGGAGGAGAGTCCTGCACTTCACAGCCTGAGAGTGACAATCCTACCTTGAAGAGAGGACGAGCAGGTCTCTGATTCTAAAGGGTGAGGAAGCAAAGAGGCTAAGAGCTCGGGCTCAGAGGTCCGACTGGGTGTGTGAGCATCTCCTACAAAGCGGGAACATCACCAGCCCCAGGACTGTGGTGACGATTAGCAGAGGACGGGACTGGGACAGAACAAGTCCTGGCTGAACACTGTCTCAGCTGAATGCTGCCTCCCACAGCCGAGACTGTCTGCTAAGTCCCCAAGGCAGGAGTCCAGGATCTTTAGCTTCCTTGGGCCAGCTCCCAGGAAGGTTTGCTTTTCAGCGGCTCCCCTCACCTAGAGCCACTGTCATCAGCAGAGCAGTTACCTGTGCCCCTCTCCACAAGTGCCATGTAGTAGAGATTGGTGTCCCCAGCCAGTCCCGCCTCCACTATGTCTTTGGTGAAATGCAGCTCCTGGAAGTTACCAAGGACAGGGAGGTGAGCTGTTGCGCCTCTAGTAAGGCCGCCCCGCCCTTCTGGCGGAGCAGCAGGAGCTGAAAGGAGACGCAGGCCTGCAGTTCCCAGGACAGCCTGTCGCCCCTCCCACACCTACCGTGTAATCCTCATGGGCAATCGTCACCCACTTCACCAGGCGAGAGACAACCTTTGCAGGGAAGAGGTAGTGGCAGTCGCTGGTAACGGGCACAATGCCGTGTTCTAAAAGAGAGCAGGACAGGTGGCGTCACAGGTAGAAATCAGCTGCCACAGCTGGGCAACCGGCATCCTCTGAAGGGCTCAGATGGCCCTGCCAGCTGTCCAGGTACACTCGGTACTCAGGTCAACATGTGCCAGGAACGGAGGCACGTCAACCTGACCTTCGCTCAGTGCCTGTGCTTGCGGCAGGACCCAGCCCCAGCATGCACAGCGCTTCATCCTTAATGCAAACGAAAACCCCTCTGTGGCCAGAACCAATGAGATGCCTCTGTGACAGTGACTGTTAATTAGATCAAATAGCCGAGAGGGCTGTTCTCACAGCTGACCTTGGAGGAGGAAGGACTAAAGTCTTCTGTGCCGGTTCTTCTAAGGCAGAAGAGCAGGAGGGCCACTCCAGGGCGAATCCCTGCTGGTGTTTCATAAGCAAATATGCCAACACCATACGTGCTATCCAGGATGACAATCAGCCAAACCTGGGACAAAACAAACTCCACAATGCTGATGGGGAGCCTGGAGAAACCAGAGTCCACGTGGGGCCTCCAGAAGGGTGCTGTGAACTCAAAGCCTTTCCTGACAGTGGCTCTTTTATTTATTTTTGATGTGGACCACTTTTAAGGCCCTTATTGAATTTGTTATAATATGGCTTCTGTTTTGTTTTGGATTTTTAGCTCTCCAACCAGAGAATAGAACCTGCGCCCTCTGCGTTGGAAGTCCAAGTCTTAACCACTGGACCACCAGGGAAGCCTCGACAGTGGCTTTTTTTTAGATTGAAAAAATCTTAACCCTCCCTCACTCGTGCCTTGTACCTGACAAGCTGTGACAAGTATTTACAGAATGAATAAATGAGAAGCCCCCACATGTCCACCATCTTGGTCAAGGGCTCATCAGAATCACTTGGAAGCTTATGGTGAACCCCGGGCTCAGCCCTGGCCTGGAGGATTTCAGCTCAGGTGTCAGGGGAGGGAGGAGGCATAGGTCACTAAACAAAGAAAGCTGAGAACAAGCTCCGCAAAAGCAGGGCTTTCTCCTGTGCTTGTGGCTCCTTCCCTAGCACTATACTGGCTACCCAGAATGAATGAGGCTCCTGTTACAATGCATATCAAAGTCTGCCATGCACTGACCTAGCGGGAGTGCTCCCGATCAGTCTGGTAAGTTGGGCCCCCAAAAGGCTCTGGGCAGTCTGAGACAGCCTTGTAGCCCCATGGGGAGCTCACATCTCTGCTTGGCGTCCTAGAGCTCTCCCCAGTGGCCCAGCTAACACCTCTCTTCAGCAAGAGCCAGGGAGCCAGCAGACTTTGTCATCAGGATTCAAGATATCTGAGCGCAGGGCTCCGTGGTCTTTGTTCTTGGGCTGAGCGGCTCAGGCCACAGCCCTGACTAACACTGCTTACCCAGGGAGGCAAACTGCTTGTGGAGGGCGAGGCGGGACTGCACCCTGGTCTTCAGCAGTTTCATGGTGGTCTCCATGTGACTGGCGCTCAGCGAGTGGTCTGTGATCACAGTGTGCTGTGGGTGACAGAGCGCAGCACATGCACGAGTGCTCCCTGTGCCTTCCTCCTCCACCCCTCTCTCCCAGGGTCTGCCTGCCCGTGGCTGCCAGGACCACCCACGTCCTGGCTTACATGTCTTCTGGGGATAGCAGGGTCTCCCTGCTGTGGGGGCCAGAGACCGAGTCCCAGCAGGAATGATACAAGCTGCTGGGATTTTGAGAGGCTGTGGGCAAGGCAGGCTTCTGCTAAGTGGCCAGCTGCCCTGGGGTTCATTTCTGGCACCTTCATATATAAGACCATGGGGTAGCAGCATCGGGAGCCATGTGACATGCAGGGCAAGGATCCAAGTTACTCTGACCTAGGTGGGTAACAGACTCAGGGAGAAAGCAAAAGATACCTAAACACCTGCAGGCCTTGGACACTTTACAGTGAAGGGGACAGGTCACAGCCCAGAGGGCTGGCATTCTGCTAGTTTAAAGTCCCAGAGGCCATCAGAAGCCTTTCTGGAGTCTGCAGAGAAGGAGAGGACCAGGGCTCCTCAGCCAAGGGGACTCAATCAGTGGACACACCTGGGGCTGCTCTTTGGGGAAGTGGAGGCCACCCAGCTTCTGTACCCACAAGTAGGGGTGACCGAGGTCAAGTACGTAGTCCCTCAAAGTCAGGATGCTACAGAAAAGAACACAGAATGGAATGATTTTACAAGTCATTGCTGCAGTGGTCCCAGGGTATATGCCTCCTCCCACCCTCTCATCTCCCCTAAACAGAACTAGAGGCTCAGCGCACTCACGGCCTGGCCGCCAACAAGGTCTCGCAAGTTCATCAGTTCCCTGCTGTGAATTTTCTCTCCCACAGCCAATTTTCTTTTTTTCCCTGGCAGCCTTCAACTCGTTAGCAAATCTCAATAAAAAGGCAGTGTACTTATCTTTTCATCAGTCCAGCAATATATAAAGTATTTTCTAAATTTTAATCCTCAGAAAACTAAAATGTTAAACACATCTCTTACCACATTCGCAGAGTTTTGACCCTTCCACCCTTCCCTATCCTTCTCCAGGGCCTCATAAGCAAGAAAGGACAACTGTCCCCTTCTCTGGATGGAGCACTCCCTCTCACCCCACCATTTCTCCCCCTCCCCCAACCCCCCGAAGGCCTGTGGTCCTAAGAGTTCTCCTGTTTTGGGAGTGGACAGATTGGGAGAGGAGGAAATGCTGCTGACTCACCCAACTTTATCGAACTGATACTGATTGGCTGGATTTGGAGTTTTCTTTCCATGATCCCCAGGGTACAAGCAGCTCAGGACTGAGTCAGGAGACAGCAAATCACTGGAGGAGGGAAAAGACTGCAATGAGAACACCGGCCAAGCCCTTGGCTCGATGCAGAAGTGGCTATCTGGGGGTGGTAATGCCCTCTCCCACTGATGAGCAAAGCCACCATTTGCTGAATGCTTCCTGTGGTCCAGACCCTGTAAATGCCTAAGGTCATCAGATCCTCACAACCCTATGAAGTAGGGAGGGTTAGCATCTCCATTCTATGGAGGAGAAACTCGAGGCTTTGAAAGATATGGCAAGTCCAAGCTAACACTGCTAGTAAGCGCTGGAGCCAGGATTTACACTGTTCCATCAAAGACAACAGTACTCTTAATCATCATTTTTTTTTGGGGGGGTGCAGATCCAATCTCTGGTCGAGGAACTAAGATCCCACGTGCCAGGGATTGGACCTGCGCCCCCTGCCTTGAAAGCATGGAGTCTTAACCACTGGACCACCAAGGTAGTCCTTTAACCATCAATTTCTGAGGAAACCTATCCCTTCAAGAAGTATACGGTGACCAGAGCCTTTCCTCAAGGGAGCAAAACCCTGTGACAACAGAAATAGGAACACTCAGAATTTTCATAGGAACAGAACAGATTTCTTCTACCCCAGAGAGATCCAGTGTGCAGCTTTGATGCTCTGCCTATCTCACACTTCACCTCATCTCATGCTGCCACAGAAAGAGCTCCGCTTGAATATTCCCAGGAAAGATACATCACACAGACTGGAGACACGGTGATGCCAACGCCACCTACTCACACCGGTTAAACATGCAATTGAAAGTGATAATCAGAGGAGACAGCACAGGCGGAGAATAGAGTAATTTGATCACAAAAGGTCCACAGGGCCCAGCCTCCCCCTTCATCCGTGGGAGCTCCCCTCACCTTCCAGAGACATCAGGAGCGACTCAGGCAGATGGCCGATCCTGCTGCCCTGAGCCCGGCAGGCCTCCGGGAACTCGCCCGGGACAGTGGCAGCTTGTAGCTCTGAACTGCTCTCTGTCCTGCCAGAGTCTCCCTGCATCACCCCCACCCCCAAGGGTTTCTGTCTCCTTTGTTGATGCAAACAGAGAACTGGCTATAAAATGAGTAATTGTCACTCTTTTTAGCCAATATTTAGTAACTGATACTAATATACTGAATCAACCAAAATAAAACAGTTAAACTGCACAAGATTAGGACTTGAAATTGACAAAACCTGATGGCATGATCAAATTTTGACAAAATTCCACCCACAACATGTGACTCAGGACAACCGAACTTGGTAAAAACAATGGACGTCAAAGAGCAGGCGACTGCATGTGCAGAGCCTGGTGAGGAGAGGGCTTCAGGGTTCAGTGGAGCAGCCTGCAGCCCCGAGGCTTAGCAGGTGGGCATCTGAGAAGGGAGCAGGCAGATGCTCACCACAAGGAGCTCCACTGCAGCCCTCTGGGTGGTCTGGAGAAGCCAGCCCCAGGCGCCCCCTGCTGGGGTGAGGTGGGAACAGGGATGACAGCACCCACAGTGCTCAGGATGGCCCAGCATCACTCTCAAGCACTTGGACAAGGATGCACCAGGAGCGGGCACGGATGCTAAGCGCAGGGTGGAGGGCAGCCCTCCTCGGGCAGCCCCGGGAAGAGCCCTGCCCCACCAGGCCCCAGACCTGCACCTCCGTCTATCCACACCTGACAGGAGGACTCAGTGGGGGCAGTGCTGGGAGGCGGGCCGGCCGGGCGAGCCTGCTTTACCCCCAGGCCCTTGTGGTCCTCTTCCCTTCCTCCCAAGACAGGCGGCCACGGTCAGGGCCTCTCTAGGGATGTTGCCCCCCATGGCTGCCTCTACGTGCCTCTGCTCACCCTTCTCAAACCCACCCACCAGTCTTCTTCCCACTGCTGCTGCCAGGTAAGGACAACCTGGGATCGAGCTGAGCTGCAGAGTAAAATCCCAGGCCCTTGGGACAGAAAAAGACGAGAGAAAGAGAGGCCTAAATCTGTCAGCCTGGTAAAGTCTGCCAAGTCTCACATTCACACTCTTTCTACTGGTGTAAAAGCTGGAGCCCACCCACTGAGTTTACAACAGGCTGCAGTCGTTTCTGGCATGGGCTGCGTAGTAAGACGACTGCACGGATTCCAGTCAGTGAGTGCTTTTCTAGATACCCTTAGTGCGCCAGGACTTCTGGGCTGTGTGGACCCGACAGCAGAAGCCAGTGTGGCCGTGNTAGATACCCTTAGTGCGCCAGGACTTCTGGGTTGTGTGGACCCGACAGCAGAAGCCAGTGTGGCCGTGAACCCCCTCCGAGTCAGCTGAGAGAGGATCTGGGCACAGCCCAGCAGGCAGGTGCCCATCACACCCCCGCCCACGCCCCAGCCCCGCAGCAATACCCCGCACTGATGGGGGTGATCAGCTCCGTAGCGGTGGTCACTTTGGCTTTCACTGTCATGATGTTGAGGTTCATGAGGTAGTAGAAAGTCAGGTGCAGCACACTGTCATCTGGACGGGAGGAGGAAAAGAGACATCCTTTATGAGTTGACATTAGAAGGGAGTCAACAGAATCAAAAAATCAATGACATTTAAGGTCTTTCACACAAAACAATGGCAATTTGAGTTAAAAGTCTCTACAAAAAAAAGTCTCTACGAACTCCTTCACTACTACAAACTTTACTGCTCCCTCAAAGAGGTGGCGCTCCATTTTCCTCCCTCGAGAGTGGACTGGACTTAGAGACTCTGCTTCCAACTAAAACACGGAAAAGAAGCGATCAAGTGATCACCAGATCAGCAAGTGGTCTGGGTTAACATCACTAGCAGCAAGATGTAGTATCCCTGGTAATACAAGACAGTGAACACCCAATCTGTGGTGTGCTTTCTCCAAAACCCACCACCTCAGTCTAATTAGGAGAAAACATCAGACAAGCCCAAACTGAGAGTCTTTCTACATGATACGTAAACCTCATCTTCAAAAGTGTCAAGGTCGAAAAAAAACAAGCAAAGACTTGAGAAGACTAAGAGGCACAATGATTAAATGCACATGAGATCCTGGATTGAAACTGGGAACAGGAAAAGGGCATTAGGGGAAAAACCAGGGGCATCTGAGTAACTTCTATAGTTAATGGTATTGTACCAATGAAACAAACTTAGATTTTGAAAACTGCACTCTGGTTAATCATGTACAGATGTGAGAGTTGGACCATAAAGAAGGCTGAGCACTGAAGAACTGATGCTTTCAAACTGGGGTGCTGGAGAAGACTCTTGAGAGTCCCTTGGACAGCAAGGAGATCAAACCAGTCAATCCCAAAGGAAATCAACCCTGAACATTCACTGGAAGGACTGATGCTAAAGCTGAAGCTCCAATACTCCGGCCACCTGATCTGGAGAGCCAACTCATTGGAAAAGACCCTGATGCTGGGAAAGACTGAGGGCAGGAGAAGAGGATGGCAGAGGATGAGGCGATTAGATAGTATCACCCGCTCAACGAACATAAATTTGAGCAAACTCCGGGAGACAATGAAGCACAGTGGAGCCTGGTGTGTGGCAGTCCTTGGGGCCGCAAACAGTCAGACACAGCTTAGCAGCTGAACAACAATAACTGTAGTTAGGTAAGATGTTGATACTGGGGTGAAGAGCAGGTGAGAAGTCTCTGAATCATCATCAAAACTTCTGAGTCTAAAATTAGCTCAAAAAAAATTTTTTTAATAAAAAAGCAAAGAGAGAACAAGTGTGTAGAGTGTTTCTATTTATGTTAAAAAAAAAAAAAAAAGGCAAAAGGATACACAAAGGTATACACCATGTAAAAGCTCCTAAATGCATAGACTATTTCTTGAAAATACACAGAAAACCATCACAATGCCTGCCCTTGGAACTCAGACCTAGGCCCAGCATCTGGGAGGCTGGGGTGAGAAGGAAGCTTATGTCTGACCATTAACTCTTATCATGCTGGGATGCTTTATCATGTGCTCCAGTATCCATATGAAGCCAGTTTCAAAACCCACATTCTCTGCAGAATACAAAGTTCTACGTGTATGTATTAAATTAAGCAAGTTGATGATGTGAGTCAAAAGTTGCATACTCTTGGCAACTTGCTCTGTGTATCTGACCTGTCAAATTCAGAAAGACAGTAGCTTCATCAGTGTCCCTGATGTGTCTAATGGTTTTGCTATATTTTTAGGGTGATGATTCAGGAAGGGAAAATAAAGTCAAACTCCATGAAGAACAATAAAGGAAAACAGAAATATGAAACTGGAATATTTTCGTAGGCAAGGGGGCATTGGCTTGCCAGACCCCCACGTGGCTGCAGCTAGCTGGCTGCACTCCTAGGTGTTAGGAGATGCCCCAGACTAAGGGGAGCCAGACCTTTGCACTTCAGGTCCAGCAGAACAGACAGCGGGTGTCTCTTCAGCATTTCCTTGCGCTTGTCATCTAGCTGAACTCCCAGTGTGGGTCGCCGGCGTTTCTGGACAAAGGAGGGAGTTGAGCAGGTTAAGCACAGGTCACAGGCATCCCCGCTTCCCTCTCCCTGCCACCCAGGGCTTCAGCACTGGGACCTGTGCTTCAGTGCTCTGGCTGCCATGATCCCAGCTGCCCTCTCTCTCTTTCACTTTTCTGCTTTCTCTTTCTCTCTTCTGCTTCCAGGGAGGACAGCACCTGGTAGATAGCGGGCCCCATGCTCTCACCGTGGTCTGCTCCTCCTCGGCATCCGAGTCGCTCTCATCATCTGTGGTGACAGAGAGAAGGAAGCTGGGGGGTGAGGGGACTCCCCCAATTCTCCCCAGAGCACCTCGGTCAGGGCATGTAAAAGGGCTCAGGCTTTTGTCAATGATTTTCCTTACGATAAATAATAAATCTGCTGTTTCTCACTCAGTACAGTATAGTGATGCAAGGAGAAGGATAATGACCTATAATCCCATCACTCCTGAGTTCTTTCAGTGCTTTTTAATGCATTCCTAGGGACAAGGTCCTTGGCTGGTGGTGGCAGCAATAACAGTAACATAAACAGCAGCAGCAGCTCATCCATCTGAGGATTAAGTGCCATGTGCTGAGGGTGATGCTGAGGGCTCTGCATGCCCAACCTCCTTTAATCCACATCACAATCCTAGAATACACGAGCTATCACTATCTTGCTTTGACAGGTGAGTGAACTGAGGCTCCAAATGTTGAAGTTTCCCCAGCACTGTGAGCTAGTGAGAGGCAGGGCTTTTCCCCGTTTACCCCGAGCACTAAGACACCGAAGCCCAGCTCCCTGACACTTAGAACCAGTATGGCTCACTTCCACAGGACCAGGGATGGCCCTGGGTGGGGACCTGGCGCCCCTGGAATCAGCAGAGGAGGATGTGGGGGAGGACCCTGAGCACCACTTACCCTGGGAGTCCTCAGGAGGCTTGAACAGAGCCTTGGCCTCATCCACGCTGCCTTCGATCGCCACAGACAACATCTTATCTGGGAGCAAGAAAGAGCTGCCTGTGACAGCTGCTGAGGGAGCTCAGCCAACAAGCAGGCCCGCCCTGGGGCTGCACTGCCTGCACCTGTCACAGCTCCTTACTGACCGGGGCTGGAAGGCAAAAAGCCCTTTCTCCAGATGCAGAGGAGCAAGGCAGGAAACCTGTCTTTTTTCCATCATCTACTGAAAACAAGGACTCAAAGTGCAGATTCCTGGCCAAGCATCACCTGAGACTAGGTGTGAATTCTCTTTTCAGGTTTACACCAAGGCACAGAAATCCAAACCAGTGGCCCAGAGCCACATGGCACAATTCTGCCAACTATCACAAAAGCTCTTATCTGGACCCTGTAAGTATCCACATCCTAGGAACGCCTCTCCCCTCTTCTGTGCTCCACCAAACACCCAGCACCTGCCTGGCACTGTCACATTTAACTGGAAGCAGGACAGTGGGGAGGAAGATGGAACCTGCAGCCTACTCTTGGGCCTGCGCCTCTACCCAACCAACTCCCAAACTCACAACCTGGGATGTTATGTCAGTGCTCTCAGCCTCAGTTTTGGCATCTGTGAAACGGGGATTTGACAGATGGGAGCTGCCCGGCTGGCTGATGAGGACTGAATGAGCTTTAATTTTAAAATTACTTAAAAAAACTCACTTTGAATCCTCACAACAACATACAGGAGGAATACTATTACTCTAGCCATTTACAGATGAGAAAATTAAGGCTCAGAGATATTAGATACAATAGCCAAGTAGAAAAACTAGGATTCAAGACCAAGTCTGTCTAACCTGAGGCTGGCCCCTCTACCACAGAGCTAAGCAGCCTGATCCCTGTGCCAGGCCTGACACCTCACCAAGCGAGGCCTGTGGGACTCTGTGCGTCTGGTACTGGGAGGTCAGAGAGCCTACAGCCCTTCTTGCTCCATTCAAAGGGGTGTAGAGATGCACGTAGTCATGGGGGCCTAAAAGAGTTTGCCCAAGAGTGTAAAGGATGACATACTCGCAGGTGGCTGACCAATGCTTATCACCGACGACCCTGCATGAACCATAACAGCTCATCCCAAAGAAACTGTCTGCCCCCACCAAACACAGGCAAATGCCAGAATGTTCTTTTGACTGGTTTACTCCTGGAATTCCACAGTAAAATGGGAATGAAAACAGGCTGGATTTCAAATACAAAAGAAAAGAAAATTACTCACCCTGTCTAGGGGGCTGGGAAGATTTCCTATGAGCTGATGATGAAAACAGGAGGGAGAACAAAGGGGAGGGAGAGGATAAAAGGACCGGGAAGACACAAGAAGAGAGACAGTAATGTGTGGATGCCGTGGCTGAGAGGCAGGCATGCACCAATGCAGTGTGTGTCTGAGGCAGTGGGGTGGGGCAGGGGAGAAAAGTTTAGGTGCCGGGGGAAAGCTGCAGGAGGGCAAGAGGTAGGATCGCCAGAAATGTCCCCAAATCCTACTGGAGTCACGGGCTGCCTTCAAGCTTAGTGAGGACACCTTCTCTCCCCTGGTAATTCACTGTGTCGACATGCAGCCTGTCCCAGAGCATGGCGGTGAAAGCCTGGGAGAGCTGGCTGAGACCTGTGTTCACCGAGCTTCTCCCTCAAGCAAGCGGAAGGCACCGGTCCACCTGCCAAGCGTGCCTTGATGGGGGAAGTGCTTGGGAGCCTGGAGAGGCTGCCTGGGCACTGAACCCAACAGCCAACCAGCCAGGCTCATCAGAGATTCAAAGCCATCCACCACGGAGTGCCCATCAGGTTAGTCCAGCCTCAGGCCAGCTGGTCAAAGCAGCCATGCTGGGCAGTGCAGAGGGGAGGCAGCATCTGTCACCTGAGGGCTTCTGAGCAGGGCCCGGGAGCTTTCCTCGGCAGGCGGTGCTTCCAGATGCCTCCCTGGCCTCGGCCGCTGCTCCCACAGCCCCTCTTCCCTGCCCGCCCCGTACTCACCACAGGCCTGCCCGTACGCCGTGGCTTGGACAAAGAGCACATAGAGGGGAGGCGGCAGGTGTCTGGCTGTCTCGTACTGCTTGTGAGCCTGGTCGAAGGGCATGAACAGGTACTCCTGCACCGGGAGGGAAGCCTGGAAGCAATGGAAGAAGGGATTGTCTCTTTGGTAGGCAGTTCACACAGGAACCTTACGAAGGTGACAGCGACAGCAAACAATAAGAAAATGAACTTTAAAAAAGATACCAAAGGAGCTCAGCTCAGTGATGGCTGAGGGGGGTGTAATGGGGGGATGGGGGGAGGAAGACTCATGAGGGAGGGGATATAAGTATACGTATAGCTGACTCACGTTGTACAGCAGGAACTGACACAACATTATAAAACATTTATATTCCAATTTTTTTAAAAAGGGAAAGAAAAAAAAAAAAGATACCAATTCCCCTAGCTTCAGGGAAACATCAAGTACCTAAATGTCAAGTGAGTAAACTTCTATACAAACACCTGAGAAATGAAAGATCTAAATGAATGGCAATATATGCCATGTGTACACAGTGGCAATCACTGTCTCCCCAGACTGTGAGGGGAATAAAGTAAAACGAAAATTGGAAATGTTCTTGAAAACATTTCTGAAAATGTTCTGGAAAATTGGTAATGTTCTTCTCTATTTGAGTGTTGATTACACAGATGCGTTCACAAATGTACACAAAGTGATTTTCATTGACCTGCATGTACATTTACAAGCTATATGCTTTTATGTAAAATTATTTTTTTAAAAGTAATATGAGTACTTCTTTTTTAAAAGGTTGTATTCAAGTTTATATGGCAAAAGTTTCCAGTTCCCAGATACCAAAAGTAACCATTAATGGTTTGGTGTGAAAACATACTTTTCTAAGCACACAGATGACTTAACACACATACGCATCCATTTGATACTCTGTAAATGAAGGCGCGTGTACACATGAGGTTATACTACATGTTCTACAATTTGCATTTTTTTGTTTAATAACTTAATAGAGCTTTCTGTCCAGTTACTCTGTCAGTAATAGGCTGTTCTACACTTCCATCACAACTGTTAAGACTGAACCATACAAGAATTTATTTACCCTGTACCCTACTCAGGAGCATTTGGAGTGCTTCCAGTTAACAGGAAAAATTTAAGTACAACCAAAACTTTAAGTTTCTAACTTCTGTCCTATATGAGTATCTGTCAATTCTATACCTAGAATTGGAGAGAGGAAACACAGATCTTGCCAAACCCTACAAAAGTGAATTTTTAATTTCTCTAGGGTCCTTTTACAAAGTTCCTCCATACTAGCCATATACCCTGCTTTATAAAACTATGAAAATTTAGATCAAATCTCGCTTCACAAAAATAAGGTCACCCATACAGAAAGACGTTGCCTTTTACAGGTAAGAAGTGGGGACTTCCCCTCCTGAGGTACCTGATGGCTTCCAGTACTAGTGAAGTTCTTTTCAGAGTGAAAGCTCTACTAAGCAGTTGGCCCCTGAGGTGCAGTCAGGGGATCTAGCATCCACAAGCTTAGGTCCTCGCAGACTGCAGGCTGGGGGAGGTCATGCGAGGGTAAACTCCACTTACAGTCTATGAAAGTGTTTTACCCAGAAGAGGCGCTGGGTGAAAACACCCAGGTAAATGTGAATATGCGTTCCTGAGCCCATCCTGCCTGCATTTCCTCCACAAAGGACACAACCTTACCATGCCAGCTGTGGGCCTGCAGATGGGACCATCCTTGCACTCTGCTCTAGGCTCAAAGACTGACAAAACAAACCCACAGGCGCTATGGCTGCTGGTGGCCTGAGGCCATTGGGTGGTGAAGGCCCAGTAAGAGCCAAGGAGGTGGCGGGCTGTGGGGAGCCTCTCACCTGCATGATGCTGTTGAGACGAGGCTGGAGGCTGCTCAGGTACTCCTTCTTCACCTCAATCTCCTTGAGGATCTTCTCCTTGTTGGACAGGCACTCTCGGTACTTCTCCGCCAGCCTGTGGAGGGAGGACAGAGCACTGTCCTGGGATGCCCCCAGGGACACCCCAACACACCTGTTCACCGCCAGACTTTACCCAATGACAGCAGTCATGATGAACTGCTAATGATTACCTAGCATTTACTATGTGCCAGGCATTTTGGAGAACTCTTCATAATCATTATGGCATTTAATCCTTTATAAAAATGCTGTAAGATGGGGACTTTTCTTATCCCTGAAGGAGGAAACCAAGGCTCAGGGAGGTGGGTAACTTGCCCAAGGTCGTCCAGCTAAGAGCAGGCGCAGAGCTGGGCTCTGAATCCAGGCCGGTCTGCTCCAGAGGCTGTGCTCATAACCACTAGGGAATATCCGTGTCACCTCCTGCTCCGTTTTCCGCCTCAGAGGCTAGACCCAGAACTTTCACAAACATACAGACCCAGCAGCTACAGGACCCAAACGCGGCCCACAGACTGGCCTGAGGGGCATGGATTCCAGATCAGAGCCACAGGAATGGAACTCTCGTGGCTTGGGGCAGGCTGCATACTGGACAGGGGTGTGATGGGCCATCCCCATGTGCTAAGAAGCTGAAACCAATTCCCTAAGACCCAGACTCTGTACTTAATAATTTCATAATGTAGACCAAAGGCACAAAATACACTCAACAACAGAAAAATGCAAGGGATTAAAAACACCACCTTTTCTGACAGAAAACGAAGCAAATGTGCCACCCAAAAGCCCCAGAACTCCTGTACACACGGAAAGAGGAAAAAGTCACCATGATGGAAGGGATACAACTATAAAACATCTGGGATGAAAAACGGATATACATACACCATATGCTAAGAAAAATCTAGATTAAATTACATAGTATAGACATTCTATTTACAGTTAATAAAGAAAAGCTCTTTATTAGTACAAAAAGTTTTATATGTAAAGGGGTGCCTCAATGCATTATTTACAATGGCAAAAAAATGCAAACAACTTAAAAGTCCAATCCACTACAGAAACAATTATGTGACAATTTACAACAGAATGCTGTACAGCCTTCTGAAACAATGTTTGCAAAGCTTTGCAATACCATATGAATATGCTTATGGGTGGGGGAAAAGGAAAAAAAATTAAATTTATAGTACAAAAGGTATTTAAGTCTTAGGCATTAATATTTTGAAGGAAAGGTTACCCCAACTTTCTTGTAACAGCCTTAAGCAATTCCAATCTCACTTACGGTACAGCTGGCCAAGTGTGAACTGCTAAATGTGACTTAATCACAAAACGCAATTTGGTCTCAGAGGCCATTCTGCTGGTCCCACTGTGCTTTGCTACTGACCCTGGGACAGGATAAAGCACTGGCCCTGGTGAATGCAGGCTCGTGTCTGTACAGGTGAACAGGTCTGGAAGGAGGAAACGCTACCTTTTCCGCTGCTCCAGCTCCCAGTCCAGGCGTGCAAGGGTTTGCTGGTGAGGGTCTCCCATGGTGACTTCCGCCTTGCTGATATCTGGAGGAGCCTCCTTATAAAACTCCTCTAAGCTGACCAGATCGATTTCTTCGTGCTTTGACCTGTAGTCAGAAACTCAATGTCAAGCTGCTGTTCTCAGAAACACACTGGCTCAAGCGGGCCCCCAGTTTCCCCCAGGTATGTGCACTGTGGCCTGGTCTACAGCCCCTGAGGAGCCTGGAATCCAGGCTTCTCAACAGATGCTCATTACCAGGTATTTCAGTGTGAAGAGACGTAGTTGGTGACATGCCACAGGATCCTTACCCACGGTGCCCAAGCTTTATACCCATGATTTAACTAAAGACCTAGAAATCAGGCTTATGAAACGTACAGACCTCTCCAAGCTCTGCAAGAGAGCTAATAGATTAAAAAATCAAATAAAAACATCATAGTTGGGCTTCCCTGGTGGCTCAGGGGTAAAGAATCCACCTGCCAACGTAGGAGACATGGGTGCAATCCCTGATTTGGGAAGATCCCACAGGCCGTGGGGCAACTAAGCCCTTGCTCTCTAGAGCCAGTGAGCTAGAATTACCGAGTCTGGGCACCCCAGAACCCATGCTCAGCAACAAAAGCCACCACAATGAGAAGCCTGCCTACTGCAACTACAGAGTAGCCTCCACTTGTGGCACTTGGGGAAAGGCTTTTGCGGCACCAAGGCCCCGGCCCACCCCTATTTAATTAATTAAATTGAAATTTCTTTTTCAACCATGTTTTTCTTGTTCTTATTAACTTTTAAAAAAAAACCCATCATGGTCTAGGCCTAGAATGTCAGGTTCAATCCAAGAAACGCAAGTTAGCAAGAATAAACATAAGAGTCTACATTTAAGTTTAAAATATTAACTAAGCTTAACATGAGGAAGATTCAACATGGCAGGACTGATGTGAAAAGATCTAGAGGCTTTAACTATTACATGTATAGTGGCACAGGTGTATAAAAGAAACCCAATCCTTTTTGCTACATGAACACAGGAGCACTGAGGTTGTATAGCAGTAATAACAGGAGCTGCCACGTATTACATACCCATTGTATACCATCCTTCAGTTCAGTTCAGTCTCTCAGTTGTGTCCGACTCTTTGCCACCCCATGGACTGAAGCACACCAGGCTTCCTTTTCCATCACCAACTACCGGAGCTTGCTCATACTCATGTCCATTGAGTCGGTGGTGCCATCCAACTATCTCATCCTCTGTCGTCCCCTTCTCCTCCTGCCTTCAATCTTTCCCAGCATCAGTATCTTTTCCAAGGAGTCAGTTCTTCGCATCAGGTGGCCAAAGTCTTGAAATTTCAGCTTCAGCATCGTTCCAATGAATATTCAGGACTGACTTCCCTTAGGATGTACTGGTTTGATCTCCTTGCAGTCCAAGGGACTCTCAAGACTTTTCTCCAACACTACAGTTCAAAGGCATCAATTCTTCAGTGCTCAGCTTTCTTTATAGTCCAACTCTCACATCCATGCATGACTACTAGAAATACCATCCTTATCTCATTTAATTCTTACAATAACTGAGATACGGATTGTTACTTCCATTTTTCAAATGAAATGGAGGCTACCATCAGTAAGCAGTTTGCCCAAGGCCACACAGCTAAGGAGCAGCAGAGCTGGGAGCGGAACCCAGGCTGTCCAGAGTCCCTGGTCCTTCCATATGGCCACTGCTTTGCCACAGGATTGTATTCTGCTGTATTTTGCATTTGTTGGCTTTCATCTGAACAACAATAACAGGTGGAGCATCATACCTTTGGTGTTTTTATGCCTGTCTTATTTTTAAATAGTATTATTTTTAAAACTTCCTCTGAATCTTAAACTAAGAGTTTATTTCCCCCATGTACCCTTCTTCCAGGTTCCCTCAATGATAATATCTTATGTAATCATGATAGTCAAAACCAGGATACTGACAACTTTACACTATTAACTCAGTTACCTGATGTGGATTTCACTTCTGTATTTCAGCATAATTATGTGATGAATTTGTGGAGCAGATAAAGATACCTCTCAAAAATCAGCACACACTAGACCCAATGTCTAACGTGAGATAGCTGGATGACATCACTGACTCAATGGAAATGAGTTTGAGCAAACTCGGACAGATAGTGAAGGACAGGGAAGCTTGGCGTGCTGCAGTCCAAAGGTTTGCAGAGTCAGACACAACTTAGCGACTGAACAACAACAATGTCTAACGTGGTCTCCCTCATCTCAAGTTTATTACAAATAAAACCTGACTCCTTTCAGTTTACACAAATAGGTCTGACCATGCAAGAACATGGTCCCCTCTCTTATTCTGTCTATTCCTTCCTCTTTCTGATCTTTCACCTTGGACTTGCCAAAAGGCATCACAGTTTAAGAAGGACACTGACAAACTGTGGTTTGTTCACCTAAAGGCAGCTAGGCAATAAGGGGTTCAGGTTCCAAAGAATGAAATCCATTTGCAAAAATGAACTGCTGGAATTTCAGAGGGAAGAACTGGGCCAAAAGGTTAAAAAGATGTAACTGGAAGTGAGCTGCTCACATACAGGCACTCAGGAATCAAACTGATAATGCGAAGACTCTCCCTGCTGGGGAGAGACAACTGCTTTTCACCAGGGTCAGAGCTGAAAACTCAAAAGGGTCAGACAGGCTTCTGAGGTTCTTTGTGCAGCCTGGAACTGCTTCTTCCGATTTTCCCATTCAAAAGTGATTTATTCATCCTTTCCCCAGATCCTGCAGTCTCCAAGCACATCTGACTCCTTTTTAAAGAAACTGGCTCACACTGAGCTATGGAGGAAAAGGCAGTTACCAGCAGATCACCATGCCAAAGCCCTATGCTTCAAAACTCACTTAAACTCCAGACACTTGGTGATCTCCTTCTGCAGGTGCATCACCTCATACAACAGGTTCTGGAGCTGCAGGTGATAGGCGTCCACTTTCTGCTTGGCCTGCAAGGAGGACGAGGTCAGAGGTGAGTGGGACATGGCACGGCGGGGCAGGGCAAAGCACAGCAAGCCGCAAACTCAGCAAAAGGGAAAGGGGGTTAGGGAGAGGGTGAGAGGGAGGAAGGAGGAGGGTTAAATCTCTCAGTGCCTACCTCATGGGTCTGATCTCTTCCTTTCTTCAACCTGATGTGGGCTAATCGGTTGAGCTTCTTCAGAGTCATAAAATGCACACAGCTCTGGATCCTCCGATCTTCTATCTCAACTGCCTGCTGGCCGAGAAAACTGATAAAGACCTTGACAAATAGAGCTGGCTCAGCTTCCTTCAGCCCCTCACTGCTGACCCATCCTCATCTAGGGTTAAAAACAGACACTGGAAGGAGCTCAGAACCATGAGCAGTGTCAGGGAGATGGAAGAATGACTGTATAAGGGAAATGCTCATGGTTCCCAGGCAAAAAAAAAAAAAAAATTTTTTTGCTTGGACCAAAGTAACAGGAAACAAAGATGGAACAAATGGAGCCAATGCACAAACCAAAGCTGTCTCTACATAACACACACAGAGATCCAGACAGTGCCATTTCACGCCATATAACTTGACCACTATAAATGCTACAGAATTAACGTGAACAAAAACGCAGAACTGTAGCTGTAAAACTTGACTATAGTCAAACAGATACACTATAATAATCTTAACAATATTGGCCAAGATAAGCAGAAATAAGTGAGATTCCTGAAAAAATATGGATTGTTTTGCACTTATCCATAGAGTTTTCAGTCACACTGTTTTGTTTCTCTGCCCTGAAACCTTTCTTTTTAAATTTAATATGAACAATTTAATTTTTGGTCTCTGTGTCTTACTTATACATATCTAGTCTTATATCTGCAAGGGTGACTGACAGTACTATTCACTTTCTCCACACCTAGCAAAATGCCCAGCACTTAATAAATATTGTTTCAATGGATTATCAAATTACAGTTACGGAAAAAAATTAATCCTGTACTTTCATGACCGTCGTTGGTGCTGTGTGGTGATGTTACAATAAACTAATAGGCAGATCTCTAGAGCCCTCAGGGTCTAATCCCCTGATGATGGCAGGACATAAGACCACAATCAGGAAGGGCCGTGACAGGTGTGAAACAGACCCATCCATGCAGCCCGTGTCCGCCCACGCCCACTCCTTACCGCGTCCTTGCCGCCCCTGCTCTTCAGGTCCTGAATCTCGGCCATGAGCCTCTGCAGCTCCTGGCACGTGTACTTGTACAGCTCGTAGTCTCTGCCAGGGTCCCGCAGGTCCACCTCAGCCTCCTCACTGTAGCATTTACCTTCCTGTGGAGGCAAGGGTCAGGCCTCGTGGTGCTGGGATTACAAGTCTCTCCGGTGGAACAAGGGACACTTGGCTGAGATCAGTGATTATGAAGCCCCCCCAAATCAGGTCTCTATAGAATCTGGTCCTCAAATCAAATGCTTTTGTTTCTTCTTTTCCTCTTTCTGATTGTAAAGTAATGCATGCTTGGTGTTGAAAGATTCAGAAAACAGTGCAAAGTATCAAAACCAAAATGAATAGTTGCCTATAATCTCACCTCCCAGCCTGAAATAACTCATTGTTAATACTGTGGATAAATGCATCAAAATAAAATAAAATGGGATCATACTGTTCATTCTATTTAGTGCAATTTTCCATCACAATAAACACAGATCTCCATTAAAATGGCTATACATAGATGAACCAGAATTCATTTAACCAAATTCCTTCTGATGCGTGTTTAGATGCTTGAATCAAGCTTTAGCAGAAACTAAAATATCCTAACTGGTCTCCCAGCCTTTGGAATAAACAAACACATCTCTTTCAGAGAGAGTCAGTTACAGTTAAAAATACTGCACCTGTTTGAAAGTTGCTGACAGTAGATCTTAAAAGTTCTCATCATAAGAAAAAAAAAATTCTGTAACTATGTAACATGACAGATATAAACTAGACATTTTGGTAATCATTTCACAAAATATAGAAATACCATTATATTGTACACTTGAAATTGATATGTTATATATCAAGTAGACTGCGATTTAATTATTAAAAAAAACAAACAGTGAATTGGAATAAATGCCTCCCAAATGATAAAGTTCTTAATTAATTTTAATTTCCTAAATCTGAAGAAAGCGTCATCTTCTATTTAAACTGAAGCTGGTACGTTTTACTCTAGTTAAAAAAAAACCCCACAATCAATCAATATAGTTAAGTCACATAACCTACGGACTGGGAGAAAATATTTGCAAACAATGAAATCATCAAAGGCTTAATTTCCAAAATATATATTAACTCATACAACTCAGTAACAACAACAAAAGACCCAATCAAAAAATGGGCAGAAGACTTGCACAGACATTTCTCCAAAGAAGACATACATATGGTCAACAGGCACATGAAAAGATGTTCAACACTGTTAATTATTAGAGAAATGCACCTGAAAACTACAATGAGGTATGACCTCACACTGGTCGTAACAGACATCCTTAAAAAGTCTACAAATAAGAAATGCTGGAGTGTGGAGAAAAGGGAATCCTCCTATACTGTTGATGGGAATGTAATCTGGTGTAGCCACTATGGAAAACAGTATGGAGGTTCCTCAAAAAACTAAAAATAGAGTTGTCACATGATCCACCAATCCTATGTATGGGCATGTATCTGAACAAAACTCTTAACTAGAAAAGATACATGCACTTCAATGTTCACAGCAGCACTATTTACAATAGTCAAGACACAGAAGGAACGTTAAGAGTCCATCAACAGATGAATGGATAAAGAAGATGTGGTGTGTGTTTATACACACACACACACATACACATACATACACATATACACTGGCTTCCCTGGTGGCTCAGATGGTAAAGAATCTCCCTCCAATACAGGAGACCTGGGAAGATCTCCTGGAGAGGGAATGGCTACCCACTCCAGTATTTCTGCCTGGAGAATCCCACGGACAGAGTAGCCTGGTGGGATATAGTCTATGGTTGCAAAGAGTTGGCCATGACTAAGCAAGCACGCATGCATACATAGACACACGCACATATATACTCACACACAATGGAACAGTACCTAGCTTAAGAAAGGATGTAAATCAGCAGCGAGGATGGACCTAGAGATTGTCATGTCCAATGAAGTAGATCAGAAAAAGAAAGTACCATATCACTTATGTATGGAATCTAAAATATGACACAAAAGAACTTACTTACAACTCACAGACATAAAGAACAGATTTGTGTTGCCACGGCGAAGGATGGATTGGGATTAGCAGATACAAACTATTATACATAGAATGGATAAAACAACAAGGTGCTACTGTATAGCACAGGAAACTATATTTAACATCCTGTAATAAAGCATAATGGAAAAGAAAAAATTAGTTAAGTCATAAATCAGCTTGACAGATTCAAGGATAGAGAAACAGCAAAAGAAGAACCTTGCTGACCACAGAGCACTCAGGCCATAAAAGAGGTTCTTTGGGGACATGGTTCTGGTACCATCTCAGGAGCAGACCAGGACTGCCACATCTACAAAGCCTTAGGGGCATGTTGCGGATGGACTGTCTTCATTTGACTATGAGGAGAGCTGGAGATGCACACTATACTAGAATACATTCTCTGTTCAACCACTAATCATATCTAATATAGGCTTGTTGGTTCTTGGGATACTGCAGCCAAATCTGACTCGGGTACTTAAGTCTTGAAGAGCCAAGGGAATTCCAGGCACATGGTCAAGCAGAGGCCACCTGGGAGGTTGTGCCCATGACCCTCAGCTGCTGCAAACCCACAGCCAGGTGCTTGGTCCCAAGTTGCAAATTTCTCAGCAGCACAGCAGCCCCAGCTGATCTCACCTGCTCAGTGTCAGAACGAGTACGCTTCCCTTCAGCGGGCGCTCCATCACTTCGGATCACTTTGGGCTTTCGTTTTTTGCTTGATTCTGATGACATTGTTGTTTGGTAAAGTCAGGAGGGAACAGCAGAGACCTGTTAAGAGGAGAAAGCTTTCGAGTTTTTCTGGAGTTGTAATCGGAGATTTTCCTGGAGTCAGAATACTTAAGTCTGTCTAGCAGTTCTGGCTGCTTATACTCTCGGTAAATCAAGAAAAGCCATCAACCCTCCAAAGCTCTGTAAAAAACGGGAATCATCCCTCAGTCTGTTCAAAATGAACTCGTCTTCCTCATCTCCACCTCCTTTAAAGGCACCACCACCAACACCCCACTGACCAAACTCCTCAGCCAGGAACATAAGCCTATACTATCAACTGATCAGTGTGTTCTGGACCTTCAGCTAAGCACTGTAAGAGTATGTTCCCATTTGGTTTTTAAAACAAGGATTCTCTCAGATACAAACAAGCATCTCATTCACGGGTGAGAACACTGAGGGTCAGGAAGGTGAATGACTTGCCCAAGATCACACAGCTAGCATGCTGAAGCATGGATCCAACGCGTGCCACAGCAGTGCTCTTGACAACTACATTACTGCGTCTTGTAGTCTTGCTACCATGTCATCTGGTGATGCCCTCAACTCCCTGGTTGGCCGGAAAATTTAAAAGAATGGAACAGACATTTCATGGGACTCTAGCATCACAAAGCATCCTCACTCTGCTACCTCTACTGACTGTCACCAGAGACTCCTGAAGTGGGAAGCCCTATCCCCCCAATCCCAGTGAATCCGTCACCAACACTTAATGAGGGAGCCAAGATCTCCAGAGAGTCCAGTCACAGAAACCCTAAGTTGGAGTCTTAGCTCCTCTATTTCATGACTATGAGTTCTGGGACAAATCACTTCACTTTTCTCTGCATCTGTTTCCTCATAGATCAAATGAGAACAACAGTCCCTACCTCCAGGGTGGTCGTGGACATTAAAGCAGGAGGCGCTGCACTGGGGACCGAAATGAAGATGATCTGGGAGCTGGGCTTTATATGGTAGCCGAGTGGTAAATAACGTTGAATACCTATGGAGAAAGTGAACTCCCGTCAATTCTCTTTAGAAACTTCTGACTGCCTCACGGAGAACGTCTCATTTCTTTGGTTGGCCTTTAACATCTACAAATGCCAAAGTCCCTTTGTTAAGGAAAGAAGTCTATCTCAGATCCTTAGACACCTGAAATCAAGTCATGTCACCAATTTTTTCATGTTCAATAATCTTTCTTTGTCATTACATCCTGCATAGGACAGCGAAAGAAGTGTTCTACTTGTGGTAAAGATTAAAATTTTTCTTTCAAACTAAATTTAAATTTAAAAAAGGACTCAGTTAAAATTAATAAGTTAATTTTCCACAGAGAAGGGGCCCTAAAGGCGTTATGTGTGGGAAATTCTGACTTTGATAGCACAGTCAAGAGTGTCGGCACAGACAAGCGCATAATAAAAATGAGCTGCTATCACCACCACCTTCGCGGGCGTTTTCTAGAGGCTGCACTGTGGGGCCTGACGATGCTGCGGCCAACATTCTCCACAGGAGGAAACTGAGACCGCGGCGCCGAGCGGCCCGGGTCCCTGTGGAATGACGGCGGAGAACCAGGGTTAGACCCAAGCCCGGGCACGTCCTCGCGCAGTCCACTCCTCAGTTCTAGAGCGCCCGGACCCACCCCGCCCTGGTCCCCTCCTCACCACACGGCACCCCGAAGCGTCCCGGAGAGCGTGCCACTTCCAGCGTCGGGGACTCTGTGGCTTGCGCACCATAGAGAAGCGGAAGGAAGGAGCGGCCGACCGGAAGTCTTGTGCGGAGGCCGGAAGCGGAGCGCGAAGGATCCCGACACAGCCGGCCGGTGGTTCTGGCTGCGGCCGGGCTGTAAGGGGACAAGGTGGTGGCGGTACTTGGGTTGTCTAGGCGGGTCCCAGCCGGCCAGCCGCTTCAAGTTACCCACTGAAACCAGGAAACCGAGGCTGTAAGGGCAGAGATTTGCATTTTGAACTTTTTAAGTTCAAATAAGGGTTCGTTCATTCTGTCCCCAGTGCCTAAAGCAATGCCCAGCAACTAGTAGGCGCTCTGCCATGTATTTGTCAAATGAATTTGTCGTGTGCCCAAGATAACACAAGAATGTAGTAGTGCCATGATCTGGACATTTGTGAATTTGCTTCTGTAACCTGGATTCTTAACTGCTGTCATAGTTACAGTAGAACATCCCACAATAGCGAGGGCAGCAAGTCGGGGTGGGCATTAACTCCATCTTAACCTGCCTTCCCCCCATTTTTGGCCCGATTTGACCGAGGCAAATCTAATGCAGCATTTGACAGCTTCAAGTATTTTCTACTCCTGGTATGAATCGTACAGATGGGGTTCAGAAGATTCTACTTATCTGAAGGTGGAAACCAAATCCCTGGTTATGCAGTGCAGTTCCTTCTGCCCTAGTGGGAGGCCCTCCCCAACAAAGAACACCATACCCACAAGTGGGACAGATGAGCCAGGTGGACCTGGGCAGCTGGCCCTGCCTGAGGGGGTCATCTGCCAGATTTCCTTGTAGATGAAGAAAAGACATCATGGTTTATAGTAAATATTTAATTGGTTCCATCAGCAACTCCAGCACAAGTTTTCCTGAAAGGGAGGCACAATCGAGCTACCCAGAGGTCTGTGAGGTGTGGGGATCACTGAGAAGGCCTCCAAAGTCACTGACCCCACTCCACACACCCGATGGCCCAGGAGAACGACAGTAGGGCTGATAGGCTGTGAAGAGGGAGAAAAGGAATTTGGGGTGAGGGAAATACAAGACCTAGCCCGTAGCTCTGCCAGTAGGAGAGCAGTTGGGAGAGCAGGAGACTCTTCCTACACAGAAGGGCTGAACAACTCATTCAAGATCTCAACCTCTTTATGTGGGAAGAAGGAGGTGCACCTCTCTTCAGCAGTCTTGTATTAGAAGCCCCTCCCCAAGTGGTCTTATGTCACCTCAGTTCTATCTTCCCAATTCTGTATTGCAAATTCTTCACTTCAGATCCAAGTTTTGAGTTCTAAGTTCTACCTTCTGGGTTCCTGTTCCATTCTGTTTCCCTCCCGCAGACCCTTCTCAGTTCCCATTCCTTTTCTCAGCCTTTCTGGGTGGAATATGTGGACATCCTGCCGACTTAGCTGATTTGAGGGCTTTCCCTTTTGCTTCTTGAGGCGGTTCTAGACTTTTCTCCAGCAGGAGGGTCTTGGCTCAGACTGTCTCGCAAATGGGTGGCACAGTGGAGACCAGGGAATTCCTGAGAGCCTGGCCTGGCCTAACCTCCTCCCAGACCACCTTTAACCACTGGACACGCTACCTTTTGTGCAACTTAAGCTAAACTGAGGAGTTCCAGGGTGATGATTATGAACTGGTGGCCTTGAGATGGGGAATCTTATGAGGAACCTAGACAGCATATTAAAAAGCAGAGACATCACTTTGTCAACAAAGGTCCATCTAGTCAAGGCTATGGTTTTTCCAGTGGTCATGTATGGATGTGAGAGTTGGACTATAAAGAAAGCTGAGCGCCGAAGAATTGATGCTTTTAAACTGTGGTGTTATAGAAGGCTCTTGAGAGTCTCATGGACTGCAAGGAGATCCAACCAGTCCATCCTAAAGGAGATCAATCCTGGGTGTTCATTGGAAGGACTGATGCTAAAGCTGAAACTCTAATACTTTGGCCACCTAATACGAAGGGCTGACTCATTTGAAAAGACCCTGATGCTGGGAAAGACTGAGGGCAGGAGGAGAAGGGGACAACAGAGGATGAGATGGTTGGATGGCATCACCGACTCAATGGACTTGAGTTTGGGTAAACTCCGGGAGTCAGTGATGGACAGGGAGGCCTGGCGTGCTGCGGTTCATGGGGTCACAAAGAGTCAGACACGACTGAGTGACTGAACTGAACTGAGGAGGAAATGTGAGAAGACATAAAAGGTTGCTGTTCCGTTCAGAGAAATTAAAAACTGCTTCCTGCACAGGGGAAGGGGTGGGCAGGGACGGTGGGAAGGGTCTGGGCAGGGCTGCAAGTCTTCATAACCCCATCATCCTTCAGCTCCCCCTTGTCTGACCTGAGCACTAGCCCCCCTAGAGTCCATAGGTTAGGAGAGAAAACCAAGACAGCAGAGATGGGAGCTCCTCTGTCCATGGCTCCCCTGAGGGAGAAGGGGGAGGAGATGGAGGCAGCAGCAGCATCACTGGAGAGGTGAGATCTTCAAAGGGATCATGATCCGAGACTCCATGTGTCGCACCAGGGGGACTGCAGAGAGAGAGGCAGAGATCATGAAGGTGTTGAGGTGAGCCAACCCACCCAAACTGGCCCTTGAAGGAGGAGGAGGAAGCCTGGGATGCTGAGATAGCAAAAGCCCCCCGCTCTCCTGGAGTGGCCTACAGAGAGCACCACGTCTCCCAAGTTATAGGATATGAGGGGACTGAAGTTATGACAAAACGCAGCTTTCAAAATTTGAAGAAAAAAAATAACGAGCATTGTTTATTAGTAAAAGTGACTTCACAGATATTATTGCTTAAGACAAAGCTAGGCAAAGAACAGGGTAGTGGGATTCAAAGGAAGAGATCAAAAAAATAATTGCAGCAGAAGGAAACAAGCTGTGAGGGTGCCCCCAAGGGGCTGAGGTTTGAAAAACACTGATTTCGTTCAAGTGACTCATGTTACAAGTGGGGACGCTACAGTCTAGAGAGGGTCGGCCAAGGTCACCCTGGTGGTCAGACTCTTTCCTTTTACTCAGCACTGTTAAATTTCACTGTGCTTACAAATTTCCTATAGTTCTTGTTCAAGTGATTCAGTGTGGGGAGGTGGGGTTGAGATTGGGCATTTCTAACAAGCTTCCAAGGGATAACACTGTCATTCGGGACCACACTGAGAAGAGCAAGGCTCCCACTAACTCATCAGGAGACGTGTTACCCAGCATTTACCAGCTGGTAAGTGTGCAAGCTCAACTATAAGTTCCTTCAGGAGAAAACAGGCTCCTGTTCTTTCTGCACTTCCTGACCCCCGCCCACCACAGTCAGCACACAATGAGAGCTCAATCAGCACGTACTTGTTCCAGGTGGTTCTCAAGAGTCCCAGCAAAGTGGCAAAACACCATAAACAAAAAACTTGCTTGAAAAAAATTGTGCTTCCTCTGTGCTGGAGTCTAGGCTATAATTTTATAAATTAGCTCCTGGAACCCTCCCTCCAGCCCTTCAAGAGAGGCACTATCACCATCGCCATCTTACAGGCAGAAAACAGCATCAGTGAGGTGAAAAACCAGGCCCAAGGTCGCACTGTGTGGTCAACTACAACACTCTGAGGCAGAGACCATCTGGCTGGATTACTGCCCCTTTGAGAACTCACCTAGGACAGCCTGCATCCTGTAGAGCATGCCACCAGGACAGGAACCTATGAACTGTCCTCAAAGTGAGTTCCCCATCAGGAGAGGTAATCAAGTGAGGCTAGATCTCCTTACAGAGGGGATTCCATTCTCAGATGGAACTCCTGGCACATGACTTCTGATGAGGTGCTCACCTGTATAGTAGACATTTTCGTCCCAGCCCCTCTTCCTCCAGGCAGCGTTTCTGGTCTCCTCCCGAGACTGCAGGTCCTTATAGGCTGTGGGAAAGGCTTAGGCTGAGCCTGTACCCAGCACGAGGCCCTCCTCCCATTGCCCCAAACCCTGCCCTGCTGCCTCTTCCTCCCCGGGTGCTTCCACTGTCTGCTTTGACCATCAGTACATTTACTGACAACTCCCAAATATATATCTCCAGTCCAGAACTGTTCCTCAGGCTCTAGACTCAAATACCCAGTGTCCACTTGATGTATCCACTTGACAGTGTATCTGCTGGGCACTCACATGCATCAGTGTCTCAAAGGTAACACTTCCAAGGACCAAATGTACACTCCTGACCCCTCCAACCTGCTCCTCCAGGGGTCTCATGAAGCAAAACACAGCTGCTCAAGCAGGAGTCTGGGAGTCCTGGAGCCTCCTATCCTTCCTCACCCAACGCAGACAATTCATCCACCAGTGCCACTGGTTCCACCTCCAGACCAGTGAATCTGTGGACCTCTCAGCATCTTCAGTGTCCAGGCCAGCATCCTATCCCACCTGAGCTAGCGTAACCATCTCCTGATGCCCCACACCCTCTTTTGCTCCCCTACAAAGTGCTCTCAACATAGCACATGGCAGCCAGAGGAATCATTAGGACACAAATTGGGTCACATCATAGTGCTTAAAACATTGCAGCAGTCTCCTGTTGCATTTAGTATAAGTCCCAGCTCATCCTCATGGCCTGCAAGACCCAGTCCAATCTGGCCAGTCTCCATCTTCCCACTCTCTTCCCCACTCCCTCCACCCTGGGCGCCTTCGCTTGCCTCAAAAGCCTGAAGGCCTTTCCCTGCCGCAGGGCCTTTGCACATGTGGTTCTCTCTACTTGCAATACCGTTCTCTGACAATTCACAGCTGACTCCTCATTCTTCAGCTAAGCTTACATTTCACCCCCTCAGAAAGACCTTCTGGTCTATTCAAGCCAATGGAGCTTCCCACGTTTGTCTTCATTATTTCTCCCTGTCCCTTGATGACTTGTAAAAATCCGAAATTATCCTTTTTGTTAGTTTATGTCTGAGGTGGTGTCTCCCTCTGCTAGAATATAAGCTCCAGAAGGACACTCGTGTTGTCCAGGCCAGCATCCTATCCCACCTGAGCTAGCGTAACCATCTCCTGATGCCCCACACCCTCTTTTGCTCCCCTACAAAGTGCTCTCAACATAGCACATGGCAGCCAGAGGAATCATTAGGACACAAATTGGGTCACATCATAGTGCTTAAAACATTGCAGCAGTCTCCTGTTGCATTTAGTATAAGTCCCAGCTCATCCTCATGGCCTGCAAGACCCAGTCCAATCTGGCCAGTCTCCATCTTCCCACTCTCTTCCCCACTCCCTCCACCCTGGGCGCCTTCGCTTGCCTCAAAAGCCTGAAGGCCTTTCCCTGCCGCAGGGCCTTTGCACATGTTGTTCTCTCTACTTGCAATACCGTTCTCTGACAATTCACAGCTGACTCCTCATTCTTCAGCTAAGCTTACATTTCACCCCCTCAGAAAGACCTTCTGGTCTATTCAAGCCAATGGAGCTTCCCACGTTTGTCTTCATTATTTCTCCCTGTCCCTTGATGACTTGTAAAAATCCGAAATTATCCTTTTTGTTAGTTTATGTCTGAGGTGGTGTCTCCCTCTGCTAGAATATAAGCTCCAGAAGGACACTCGTGTATTCGCAGTGTCGACGCAGAGTGACCGTGGAGGAAGGAGGGGCCGTGGAGGGCTCCTGGCGGGTCCCCAACCTACCCCAGAGGTGGTGCACGACGTACAGCTCTCCTATCTGCGAGAAGAAGCCGCCCACCGCCTCCTGGTTCTCCTGCCGGTACTTGATGGCCCGGGCCCTGGGGTGGCAGAAGGGTGTGGGGCCAGGCCAGGGCGGCTGTAGATGGCCCTCTGTGGGGACCCCAGGCTGGCTTCTCAGCCACACATGGAGGGAGGAGCCCAGGGTAGAGCGCTCGGGGACTTGGGTGGCGGAGGTACGGCCGCTGGTGGTGTGTTCCACCCCAGTCGTCTGGAGGGTCCTCACCCCCTTGGTTGGACTGCTGCCTGCTCCCGGAGCCGTGAGGCACAGAGGGTGCCGTGTCTGTGCCACAGCACCCGGGAAAGGAGGCCCGCCAGGCGGTCAGGGTCCCCCCAGCTCCCTGGCACGACCACTCACCAGTTGTTCCCCCACTCGATCATGGTTCCTGGCTGAAAGAGAACCGGAGCAGAGGGTGGGAATGAGCCCCTACCTGGGATTTCAAGCCTCACTGTTGGGTGGGGCTGGGAAACTGTCATGTCTCTCTAGCTCCAGGGGCCGCCTGGCCTCATTCAGGGGCCCTGAGTCACACCTGAGCATGCAGGGACGCACGCGTGCGTACATACCTCTTCTGAGGCCAGAAGCCCCAGTCTAGGCTCTGGGCACTGAGCCCGAACCCCGCCCCTCGGTCTACCTGGAGAGTACACTGCTGCAGGGAGCGGGGGAGGCACCTTGAGCTTGTACGTCCTCAGCTCGTAGATGTTGGGGCCGGCTCTGGGCTGTGGCTCGTTCCAGAAGCTGAACTCGAGGAGCAGCTGGTTTCTCCTGGACAGCAGCATCTGGCTCCGCTCCTTTCGGAACTCCAGGTACTCCTGCGGGCGGGGTGGGGCCGGGCGAGCTGGGCATAGCAGCCAGGAAGTGCCCTGCCCCGGCCCCCCCCACCCCCTGGCAGTGTGCCCCAGGGGGTGGCGGAGGCAGCCCCCAGCACAGGGCTGAGTCAGAGCCAGCATTGGATGCCCACGTACCTTGTTGTTCTTGAGCTTGTTCATGCAGTCCATGAGGGCTGGGTAGCCCCCCGAGAATCGCCACAGGTGTACTGTTTGCGGGGACAAGGAGGAAGGCACAGGTCAGGGGGCTGCGGGCACCCTGCTCTGCTCCGCCCCCCCCCAAGCTCCATGTGTATGTAATGGGAGGAGCCTCCAGCCAGTTCTCTATAGCCTTGCCAGGGACAGTGCTGGGCAGGGGGAAACCCCAGACCAAGCCTAGGAGACTAGGGTTTGAGCTGCAGCTCTGCCAAGTGGCCTTTGACCCCTCTAGGCCTCAATGTCCTCATCTTGAGAATAATGCACCCATCCAATCCTCCTTAAACAGCAACAAGAGGATCAGAGTGAACTTGTACCCTAGGAGCTGTGGCATACGTAAAGCTGACCCCATAGCAGGTCTACGAGGGGCAGGCTGGGTCAAAGGAAGGGGCGGGCAGGCTGAGATGGATTACTCCAAGATAGTGAATTGAAAAGGAAACCAAGGAACAGAACAGCACATGCGGTATGCTACCACGTGTGTTTAGGCAGGGAGGGACATATCCAGAGATGCTGGTCTGTGCACCGTCTCTCAATGGAGACCCAAGAGATTGTGACAGGAGATGCCCTTGGGCCAGAGAACTGAGGCTTCAGGATCTCGAGCAGGAGGAAGGCTTACTTTCCAATGAAAATTCTTTGCGCCATTTGCATTTTTTCATCACAGCCTCTGTACTGGGTTCTTACAAGTTCATTAAAATGTGGATTCCTCAGGGGGTCTGCTCCCCACCTGATTCTACAAGGTGCAAAACCCTTCAAGACACCCAAAATATAGACATGCTTTAAAATTCAAGCTCCCATTACTCAAAGTTCATTTCTCAATGAGCAAATACTTAGAGGAGAATCCAAGAAGTACTGCAGAAAATGATTAAATTGTACCTAAAAATGGGAAAACTGTAAGAGGTGCAATGGAAGACAGTGGCTTTTTCTTACCCCACTATCAATGTGTCAATGATTACTGAAACAGAGTAAGTGATTAAGAGAATCTACCTAACTGCAGATCACAGATTTTAAAAAGAAATACTATTATCAGGGCAATTGAAGGATGAGATATGTTGTCTTGAGAGATAGTGAGCTCCCCATTGCTGGGAGTGTCCAAGGGCAGCATAGAGGACCTTCTCTCAGGCCCAGAGGAGCCCCTGTACTATCTGCAGTCTAATCAGCACTGCCTGAAAGGACTCTCTACTATGATGGAAAAGTTCTACAGCTGTGTTGACCAAGATGGGAGCCTCGAGTCACATATTTCTATCAATGGGCACTTGAAATGTGGCTTCTGCTGACTGAGGAACTGAGTTTTCCTTTTTATTTAACTTTACTCAATTTAAATTTAAATAGCTGCATGTGGTTAGTGGTTACCTCCCAGGACAGCACAGATCTAAACGCCAAGGCCCCTCAGAGTGGCTGGGACACTGTGAGTGAACCAAATTCATGTGTGGGTCCTCACAGCTGGTGCCAACTGACATGGCATGGGGCCCGCTGGGGGTATTCCTGAAGCTGCACAGAACCAGCTCAGACAAGAGGCCCTGTTCATTCCATAAATATGTACGGCATCCTGGGGATTCTGTGGTGAAGAAAGACAGGCAGGGACCCTGCCCGCTGGGCAGCNGAAGCGACTCAGCAGCAGAGGAGTGAGCCAAGAAAAGGAGGCCGGGGGGAGAGCTTCAGGCTGATGAGACAGTGGGAACAACAGCCTGGAACTAGCGGGAAAACCTGTCCACCTGAAGAACGGGAAGGAGTCTGGGGTGGGATGGTGGAGCGAGCAGGAAGATGTGGGAAGAGGAGACCCGAGGCAGGACAGGGGAGGGCTCAAGAGCCTCGTGGGCCACCTCAAGGGCACAGGGAGCCATCACGGAGCTGTGAGCAGGGGAGGAAGCCCGAGGACTGCGCTGAGGACCCCTCTGGGCACCGCTGCGCAGGGGGCGTGGAGGGCAGCCACCTGTGGTGGGCGTGGGCAGCTCACCTGCCTGGTCCTGCTCCCCGTACCACGTGTTCCAGTTGCCCACGAGCGAGCAGGGGTAGTCCTCATCCAGGTGCAGCTTGGGCAGCACGGCCTCCCTGGGGCGGGGGGGCACAGAGAGGGGAGGGCTCACAGCAGCCCCAGAGCCCCTGGGAGAAGGCCTCCGACTCAGGCCCTCAGGACGGTAACATGCAGAGGCTGCGCGGGAGGACGTGTGGCTCTGAAGTCTACAGCCCCCGGATTTGTGCAGGGGGAACAGGGCTGGGACGGAGTCCCCCATCCGGGCAGGGGCGGGGACAGGAGGGCTAGGGTCACTCACGTCAGGCTGTTGTAGGCGTCCAGACACTCGGGCTTCACATTGTGAACTGCAACCAAGGACAGAGAGCGGGCGGTGAGGCGAGGGGGACGGGGTGTCTGTGGGACGCTGGGATGGGGGAGCCCCACAGGGCCCGGGCTCCCAAGACAGGTCAGATGTCCCAGACCCTCTTCAAGTCCCAGCAGGAGCCTCAAAGGCCCCCAAAGGCCCCTGGGAAGGCAGCTCGGCCGACTCAGCAGCCACTCACACTGGATCTTGTAGAGGTTGCTGGTCTCCTTCTTGGACAGCAGCGTGGAGTGGGCGTCCTTCCGGGGGTCCACCTTGTGTACAAAGAGGGACCGGAACCAGCTGCCTTCATTGTCCTTGGAATAGAAGCTGCGGGGCAGAGGAGTTCAAGGGGGACCTGTTTCTATTTGCCCAGACGCCTTGCTCCCCGAGGCTGGTGACCCACTTTTCTGGGAATGGGGCCATGGAATCCCATGGCAGTTCCAGCGGAGTTCATGTCACTGGAGCCAGCCACGGAGATCCTGGCTGTCCAGTTTGCTTCTTGAAACTCTGCAGAGCCTCAGGAGGCCAGGAGAGGCAGCCCCACCTCCCGCCTCTCTCTCCAGCCTCCCCTTCACCCCCTTCCAAGAGGTCCTCCACTTGGACCCTGCAACTGTATCCCTTGCCAAAAGGGTGAACCCCAAACACATCTTGCCTGGTGTCCAAAACCTGTGACAGCCCAGCCTACCCTGGCGGCCTCCCCTCCAGTCCACCCCTACCTGTGTATCCTGCCCTCCACGTGTGCTGTCTCTGAACACACCAGACTTTCACTCTGCTTTCCTTGCAATTTCTGTCCCTTTCTGATGAGAAGCCTGCACTCAGAGTCCTCCAGTGTTCACACTACACCTGGCCTGTGCCTGATGCCAGCCCCCACAAATGGAGCACCTGAGACGCGCAAGCTCTGTCCTTGAGGAGGTCACAGTCCGCTGGGGAGAAGTGGACCTTGGAACACAGTTAACAGCCAGAGGTTTCTGGGAGAGCCCAGAGGAGTAAGCCTGAACTTGGCCCCTGGAAGTCTGGGTGAGCTCTCCAATGGAGGTGATCTGGCCACTTTCCAAATCTCCAGGGCTGATTTGGCAGATAAAGGCAGATAGAGGGGGTCAAAGGCATCAGAAGGCGAGATTCATTCATTCATTCATACAACGCTTAATTGACAAAAACCTGCCCTGTGCACGTTGCTGAATGAATGAATGACATGCCTTGTTCAGAGCAGGGGAACCAATCACCAGGTCCTGCTGGATCATAATTGCACTCCCCCCGCACAAGGTTCCAGCAGAGGTGGGGTTATGTTTAAGCTGCCAGAGGTGGTAAATCACCTTACTTAGCAGCAGCGGTGAGGCTTGTAGCCAGGCCTGAAACGCCAGCCTCCTGCTAGATGAGTTCCAGTCCAGGAGCCTGGCTGTGGGGCCCCATCAGCAACTTCTCTTCTTTCGCGAGCCTTTTCTGTGGCTAGAATAAATGTCTTGCAAATCAAAGTCTTGCTTTTCTCCAAAATATGGATTGAGCACTGGGACTGATAAAATCTGAACAGCATTTTAAAAATGATGATATAGTTGTATGAGCACAGAGGAAAGATAAGTAAGGATTTGTTCCAAACTGGTTTTTTGTTGGTTTGTTTGGTTTTGGCCATGCCAGGCAGCCTGTAGGATCCCAGTTCCTTGACCAGGGAATGAACCCAGATCACAGCAGTGAAAGAATCGAGTCCTAACTAGACCACTGGGGAACGCTCAGCCCCACACCGTTAATCTTGCTTACCTGAGAGAGGGAAGAGAAAGATGGTTAAACTTTTCGTTACTCATGATAATTTTTTGTAAAGCTAAAAAAAAAAACACTTTTAAGTATTTTTGAATTCATAGGCTTTCTATCGTTGGGTGTGTACTGCTTCATTAAAAACAAAAAGACGTGAACTTCCCTGGTGATCCAGTGGTTAAGACTCTGAACTTCCACTTCAGGGGGCTAGGGTTTGATCCCCGGTCAGGGAACTAAGATCCTGCATACCATGCAGTCAAAAAAAAAAAAAATCTGAAAAAGAATATATATATATATATATATAAAGTCATTATATATAAAAAGCCATCGAAAGTATATATGTATATATATATATACACATACACACACACATAAAGTCATTCCTTTTTCCAGGGGATCTTCCTGACCCAGCGATTGAACCTGGGTCTCATGTACTGCAGGCAGATTCTTTACCATCTGAACCACCAGGGAAACTCTACACTTCAATGTTTTAAAATTTTTAATTTAAAAAAAGAAAAAAAAAGGCAGTTGTCATCAGATGGCCAATGTGGTCTGTGGAAACGGGACCACAATAAGGCAGCCTCACTATGGCTAACATTGGCTGAGGATAGCCTCTGCCAGGGACCCATGATCAGCTTGTCAGTACCATGAACCTACACAATGATAGTATAATGTTAATACTGTTCATATTCCCATTTTTTGAGGTAAGAAAATAGAAGGTCATGGGTGGGAGGGTTAAGAAACTTGTCCCAGGTCACACAGCAAATTGGGGCAGAGAGCTCAGGCAGGAGCCCAGAGCTCTTTCCTATAAAGCCAGCTCCACCCTCAGACCAGGCACCAACTGGGGGAACTAGCATCAGGGAGATACTATAAAGAAGCAGGTGTTTTTTTTTTTAACAAAGCCACCGGTAGAGGGACCTGACCTTTGGTTTGAATGTAGAGAGGCTGTTTCTCCTGGAAGGGGTGATGACAGAGAGGACAGCAACTCCTACTCTGTGTCAACCAAGACCTTTGCTCCAGGACTGGGCCTTGAGTAATTTATTAACATCAGCAATGACCAAGATAAACAGCTAAGCGGCCAGCCCTGGAGAGAGAGCGTGGAACCTGGGTGCTGGGGAGTGAGGGCGGAGTGTCCAGGAGCTCCCAACTCTTCCCACCTCAGTCTCCTCTTTCCTGCCTCCGCATCTCGGTTTCCCCACGTGTCAAAAGAGCAGAGCAGAGCAGCCTATCTCCAAAGATCTTTTCTGCAGGTCTCAAGGAGATCCCAGTGCAGGGTCTGAACTTGAAGCTAGCATCTGTAGGTTCACATTTCAAGAGTTCAAATTTCACTTTTTCAATGAAATCACAACATTCTCCTGCCCTTGAGCTCCCCAGCCCTTCTCACCTTGCTCCCTATTTTTTCCATAGCTCCTTCTAACGCACTGTAGAATTTGGGGGTTTATTATGTGCCGTTTGCTGTCTCCCACTGGCAGCATCCCCATGTAGCCTGAGATGCTATCTCTCCTGTGCATCCCCGCCGTCTCCCCAGGGCCTGGAGGAAAGCTGGGCACGTGGCACACGCTCAGCCCATGCTGGGGGAATGAGTGAAGGAGTGTGGGGGAGCTAAGACAGAGCTGCATGAAAATGATGACACCTGGGAGGTAAGGAAAGCAGAGAGAGGGTGGACCTGGGCCCCGTGTGTGGACTCGGGACGCAGGGCCCCTTTCTATCCCCACCATCACCAGCAGAGTTACTGCCTAAGAGCACAGGTTCTGGACAAATCCAGGACTAATCCCAGCTCAGCGTCACCTCTCTGAGCCTCGTTTTCCTCACCTACAAGGGCAATACGATGTGCCTTGCAGAGATAAAGGCAGACACAGCAGGGCAGCTAGCATCACTGTTCCTACCTAACTGATCTAGCTCGCACTTGTCCTCTTTTTGCCTAACCTGCCCATCGGTTTTGTAAAGTACCACGGTTGTGATGCTATGTGTCCACTGGAAAATCTTCTATTGTTCCCTACTGCCCGTAAACCAAGGCTGGATGTCTCCACTTGCTCTAATCTATTTGCCAAGCTTTCAAGTCAATTCCCTTTTTAAAAAACATTTTTCTTTTTCATTTGTTTTTGGCTGCCCTACTCAGCTTGTGGGTTCTTAGTTCCCCAGCCAAGGATTGAACCCATGCCTCCAGCAGTGGATGTGTGGAGTCTTAACCACTGGACCGCCAGGAAGTCCCCACTTCTGTTCTAAATTTGGTGACCACCGATCCAAGATTCCCTATCATTAGCATCACCTGAGAACTTGTTGACTGCCCTGCTGGCTCAGATGGTAAAGCGCCTGCCTGCAATGCAGGAGATGTGGGTTCAATCCCTGGGTCGGGAAGATCTCCTGGAGAAAGAAATGGTAACCCACTCCAGCATTCTTGCCTGGAAAATCCCATGGATGGAGAAGCCTGGTAGTCTACAGTCCATGGGGTCGCAAAGAGTCGACAGGACTGAGCGACTTCACTTAACTCACTTAAGAACTTGTTAAAGCTTTTCCAGCTCCACCCAGAACCACTGCAGCAGAAACTTTGGGGGCGGGGACAACAATCTGGGTTTTAACAAGTCTGCCAGGGGATTCTGATGCATGCTCAGGCTTAAAATCACTGCTCTAAGGTAGTCCCAATTTCTTTCTTTTTTCATGTAATCTCAGTAAATTATCCCAGAAACACCAAAGATCCTGCTATCTAAACTATATTAAGAATGCCCCTTAGGCCTAGAAAAACCAGTTCAACCCCTTCCATAAAAACACCTCTCCTGGGACTTCCAGTAGTGCAGGGGGCACAGGTTAGATCTCTGGTGGGTAACTAAGTTCCCACACGCTGCGTGGCCAAAAAACAAACAAAAAGCCCACCTCTCCTATTTCCCCCTCAGCCTGGAGCGAACATTCTCCACCCTCTAGGGTAGCCAGCACAATGCTTTTAGCCTGGGAGTTGTTGAACAAATGTCTGCCCCAGATGAGAACTTTATAGAGACACACTGGCACTCTCAACAGGGATCAATGGTCTGGCACCACCCCACATGAAACTGCTGTGGAATGTTCTAGATTGATATGCTGGGAAGCTTGGCTCTACGCATATTCTGAAACACTCTTTGTCTGGAGTCGGCTGACTTTAGAAAAGGACCATGTTTCCGTTTACTGCCCCACAAGTATGTTTTCGGGCTTCCCTGGTGGATCAGACAGTAAAGAGTCTGCCTGCAATGCAGGAGATGTGGGTTCAATCCCTGGGTCGGGAAGATCTCCTGGAGAAAGAAATGGTAACCCACTCCAGCATTCTTGCCTGGAAAATCCCATGGATGGAGAAGCCTGGTAGTCTACAGTCCATGGGGTCACAAGGAGTTGGACATGATGAGTGACTCTCACACACACACACACACACACACACACACACACACACACACACAATTATGTCTTTAGAAGACATACAGGGAGAACTAAAGTCCTCTTAACAACAGGATTACTGATGTAGCAATAACTGCTGCATATTGAGCACTTACTATGTGCTGAGAACTGATCTTCACAATATGTTTTTGAGAAAAATGAGGCTCAAAAACAAACAAAACCGAAAACAAAATATAGAAAAATGAGGCTCAGAGATGTACCAGGCCTTATTCAAGGACAATTAACCAATGGCCAAGAGGATTTCAATCCGGGTCCCACTGTGTTTGGACCCCAGTAGCCCCACTCTGAGCTCAAGAGGCCAGAGGGCCCCTCTAGGGACTCCTGAGAGATGGGGGCAGACACAAGTTGGCAGGAGGGGATGTTCCCAGATANTCTAGGGTAGCCAGCACAATGCTTTTAGCCTGGGAGTTGTTGAACAAATGTCTGCCCCAGATGAGAACTTTATAGAGACACACTGGCACTCTCAACAGGGATCAATGGTCTGGCACCACCCCACATGAAACTGCTGTGGAATGTTCTAGATTGATATGCTGGGAAGCTTGGCTCTACGCATATTCTGAAACACTCTTTGTCTGGAGTCGGCTGACTTTAGAAAAGGACCATGTTTCTGTTTACTGCCCCACAAGTATGTTTTTGGGCTTCCCTGGTGGATCAGACAGTAAAGAGTCTGCCTGCAATGCAGGAGACCTGGGTTCGATCCCTGGGTCGGGAAGATCCCTGAGAGAAGGGAATGACTACCCACTCCAGTATTCCTGCCTGGCAATTCCATGGACAGAGGAATCTGGTGGGCTACAGTCCATGGGGTCACAAGGAGTTGGACATGATGAGTGACTCACACACACACACACACACACACACACAATTATGTCTTTAGAAGACATACAGGGAGAACTGAAGTCCTCTTAACAACAGGATTACTGATGTAGCAATAACTGCTGCATATTGAGCACTTACTATGTGCTGAGAACTGATCTTCATAATATGTTTTTGAGAAAAATGAGGCTCAAAAACAAAACCAAAAACAAAATAGAGAAAAATGAGGCTCAGAGATGTACCAGGCCTTATTCAAGGACAATTAACCAATGGCCAAGAGGATTTCAATCCAGGTCCATCTGACTTCAAAGCCCACACTGTGTTTGGACCCCAGTGGCCCCACTCTGAGCTCAAGAGGCCAGAGGGCCCCTCTAGGGACTCCTGAGAGATGGGGGCAGACACAAGTTGGCAGGAGGGGATGTTCCCAGATATCCAAGGTGGGAGCCAGGGCAGAGGTAATTTCACAGCAGTCCTTGAGGGACTTGATAAGTATGAATCCAAGCACCTTCACAGGAATCCTGCGGAAAACACCTGGCAGGGACCTCCAGTCCTACTTCAGAGAGAAGGAAACCAAGGGCCCTAGAGGTTCAGCACCTCATCCAAGATTACGGAGCAGCAGGCTGCCTATTCGGCCTAGGTTCCTCCTGTGGTCTCTTGATGTTCTGTCTCTACCACCAACCAGTTCTGGAGGCTACAGAAGTGAGGCCCGCCCCCAGCTGGGATTTCCTCATCTGGAAAATGAGGGGCTCATAGCACATGACCTTCCCAAAGCCCCTTCAGCCCTGACATTATGAGGGACTCATGAAGACACTGCTTGAGACATTAGGCTTGGGCAAGGGGCAACATTTGTTACACGTTCACCAAGCGCTGGGTACCTTACACACGTGACTACTAATCCTCAACAACTCTGTGAAATCATCCTACTTTTTCACCCCCATTTTACAGATGAGGAATCTGAGACTTCAAGAGGCCAAATAATTCATGCAAGGTCACCTCACTGAAAAAGGCTGAGTTGGCTGTGTAGGTGCCAGGCAAACTCCAGGTTCTCTCCATGTCATGAGCTTTCTCCCCAGTTACTAAGCCATCAAACCAGTCCATCCTAAAGGAAATCAACCCTGAATATTCACTGGAAGGACTGATGCTAAAGCTGAAGCTCCAATACTTTGGCCGCCTGATGCGAAGAGCTGACTCATTGGAAAAGACCCTGATGCTGGGAAGAATTGAGGGCAGAAGGAGAAGGGGGTGACAGAGAATGAGATGGCTGGATGACATCACTTACTTGATGAATATGAGTTTGAACAAACTCTGGGAGATAGTGAAGGACAGGGAAGCCTGGACTCCCGCAGTCCATGGGGTCGCGAAGAGTCGGGCACAACTTAGTGTGTGAACAACAACAGGGTGGATGGGGAAGCTGGCGCAGGAAATGGCAACCCACTCCAGTATTCTTGCCTGGATAACCCCATGGACAGAGGAGCCTGGCGGGCTATAATCCAAGGGGTCGCAACAGAGTTGGACACAACTTAGCAACTCAACAACAGGGTGAGGGCACGCGCTTGGCTCCTATTCCCCAGCCTTCCGGACGCCACGGCACAACACTCTGTAACATCTTACAGCAGGGTCTAACAGAACTCACAGCTTCACACCTAGGCTGCTGGGCAGGACAGACCCCTGCCTCCTCTCCACAGGTTGGGGGACAGGTGTCCTCACTTCTTTGGCAACTGTTCTTGAGCACACACTGTCCTGAGCCCTGTGCCAACGGCTGGGGAAACAGAAAGATGAGGTGATGGCCCAGTGGCAGGGGCAGGCAACTGTGTCGAGGGTGGGAAGAGCAGAGATGGGGGAAGAACAGGGCGCCAGAGGGAGGAGGGCGGGGCGCCCAGGGCCAGTCAGGGAGGCGAGGGGAGGGACCAAGCAGAAGGCCAGGCTCAGGGCCGGGGCCAGCCTGCCTCCCTCCCCAAGAAGGCCACCAGCTGCGGCGCAAAGACCACAGGGGTGTCAGGAGGCCTGGGTCCAGACTCGGTGCCACCACAGGACGGCGGGGGGAGTGACCTTGGGAACTCCCACCCTTTCTCAGGCTTCCTCTGCTCCCCGTGTGCTGTTTATTGTGGGGAGCCAAGGATCTGTGCAGCCATGGCCCTTGGGAATCTCCACGGCTCCCCTACCTCTGACCCCCAGCACTAACCGAGGGAGGAGCCGCCTGTCACAGAAGTCCCCCGGGGGCGCCCATCTCACAATCAAGGCAAAGGCCGGGGAAAGGGCCACTGCTCCCGCCCTGGGCCAGGTCCCACTCCCCACGGCCCAGGGCCTGCCCCTCCCATTCACCCTGTCCTTCAGTCTCTGCCCAGAGCCAAGTACCCAGCAGGGCAAAAGCCCTGCGCCCACCTTTCCCACCTCCCCCATTCTTTGCCCAGACCTCCTCCTCAGGCTGAGAGATTCGCCCTCGGCCTCTAACCATTAGACTGCAAGCCCGAGTCTCTGCCCATCCCCCAGGCCCAGACCCTGGCTCTCACCCTTGCAGCCCCCAGGCGCCCCGCCCCGCCCCAGGCCCAGCCCGGTTCTTACCGCGCCGCAGCCACCGTCGCAACGTCCCGGGGGCCCGGCCCCGGGCCCCCCAGCAGCCGCCGCGCCGCCGCAGAGATGCTGCACAGACGCGGAGCCATGTTGGAGCGCTGCAGGTTGGAAGGAGGCCCCGCCCCCGAACCCGGCAGTGGAGGAGGGACGTGGGTAAGCCCCGCCCCACCGGCTCGCCCGCCTCCCTCGCCAGCCGGGCAGGTGGGCGTAGTCCCCGCTCGTCCTGCAACGCAGATGCAGGGCAGAGGTCCGGGTTCTTGTCCTCCGAGCCGCTGCAGCCCTGCTACAGACTTGCTTTGTGGCCTGGAGCAAACCCTTCGCCCAGTCTGGGCCTCAGTGTCCACCCCGTAAAATGGGAGCATTGAACAATAACACCAGGGGTTCTTAAAGGGGCCCTCCAGGGTAAGCGGCAGAGGGTCAGTAACCCCGCTTGAAATGGTATACAGTTCTGTGCGCCTGTGAATTCCTGCGGGGGAGGGGCCCAGGTACCGTTTCATAGTCTGAAAGGAACAAACCCCCTAACAACGTGAGACAGATGGACAAGGCTCTGGGTTGCAGGGACACTTTCTCCCCATCATCTCCTTTTCCCTTTCCACCCCCCTCTACCATCCCTGCCTGGGCCTCCTGGAACTCCATGCCCTCCTCCTGCTCTGCCCAGGTCATGTGCCTAACTTCCAAACTAGTCCTCTCCCAGCCCACGGTCCCCCAGGTCACAGACCTCAGTGGGAGCGGAGGGCCTGCAGACCCTATGGGGGGGGGGGGGCAGCAGGAGCCTAATAACTTCCAGAGAATATGTGTGTCCACACCCCCCAAAAGACTGTCCACCCACTGAGGCTGAGGCTGATGGTAGTTCCCTCCTGATATGCTTCAGGTGGAGGAGTGCTCTGGCAGGCATTAATTTTGTGATTCCTTCAGCAAATGTTGAGTCCACGTGGCTAGCCCATGTGCTGAGCCCTGAGACGCCAAACATGGCCAGAAAGACAAGCCCCCAGCCCTCTTGGAATTTGAGGCCTGGCCTGGCTGGGGAGACAAAATCAAATTGGCATTGACCCCCCCTGGGGCAGAGACCTTAGACCTAACCCCTCTCCCCTCTCTTGCCGGACATTCTAAAAATATTGGCTGAAAAAGTGAAAAATATACACAAAAATATTTTTTGCCAATTGTGATACAGGCTATGAAAAAATATGGAGAGCTATGAGGACTTATATTGGGGAGGGGGAAAGAGAAAATGTGAGGTTCTATATAGACTTTGAGGGTCAATGATAATTTCTATAAGGAAGTGAGGCCTGTACTATTTTTTTTCCCTTGTGTTTTCTGAAGCTGCTACAATGAATATGTATTCTTTGCAGTATTTATTTTAAAAGGATACTGTATATCATCATGATAAACAAAAAACCCAAGTCAACTGTGATACACAGGCAGAACCAAAAGAATAAACGCAATGAAGATACTGTATCGCTGGTGCTTTAAAGCTAAGGCAGAAGGTTACTCTCTCTGTTAACACACAGCTGGGCCCAGTTGCTCCTTGGGTTATTAGAAGAACCAAAAGGGACCATGACTGAAGCGTTCCCAGACACAGTCACTCAGGAAAATCTCAGATGGGGAGACGGAGGTGCAGCAAGTAACATGTCACTGGTGTCCTGCGGTGGAGGAACCAAGTGTGGCCGGTGAGGAGAGGTGGGCGTGACAGCTCCCCGGGCCTCACAGGTGGCCTGACGTTAGACCTAGGCTGGGCTTCCCTGGAGGCTCAGAGGTGAAAGACTCTGCCTGCAACGCAGGAGGCCAGGTTCAATCCCCGGGTCGGGAAGACCCCCTGAAGAAGGGAATGGCAATCCATTCCAGTATTCTTGCTGGAGAATCCCATGCACAGAGGAGCTGGGCGGGCTACACTCCATGGGGTTGCAGAGTCAGACACGAGTGAGTGACTAACGCTTGAAAGGTTCAGCAGAGAGAGTCTGCCAGCAGGGAGCAGGGCAAGGAGAGCCTTGGGCAGAGAAAGCAGTGTGTGCACAGTATGTGAAAGGGCCCCCCGGAAGGAATGGGTTCAGACTTGTTCAGCAACATCGGGTGTCATCAGAGGGTGGAGATGACATGGAGGCGTCTTCTCGCTCAGCACAAGGAGTGGATGATGGCCTTGGTGACCTGTCACCGGACTGTGACAACAGATGCTGCCACAGCAGCTAACTGGTCATTTGGTTATCAAGCCACGGGCAGCCAGGACCCCTGGACAGGGAAGGGCTTATCCTCCAGGCCTGGTGTGAGAGTCCTCTCCAAACTCTTGGTGTTCTGGCCGTCTCTGCTGGGGAAAATGAGGAAGGGCTGGCCTAAAGCCTCCCCATGCTGGTCTAGGCATTTCTTTTAAATGTATTTATTTTTGACTGCACTGGGTCTTTGTTGCTACACTCAGGCTTTCCCTAGTTGCAGTTAGCGGCTGCTACTCTCTAGTTGCGGTGCACGGGCTTCTCACTCCCGGCACTTCTCTTGATTCAGAGCACAGGCTCTGGGGGGTAGGGCCCAGTTGCCCCAAAGCAGGTGGAATCCTCTAGGACCAAGGATCAAAGCTTATCCCCTGCACTGGCATACAGATTCTTAACCATTGGACCACCAGGGAAGTCCTAGACTAGGCATTTCTAAGACAATCTTCCTATCTCTCACTGTTTGAGTGGGATAGGAAGATCAAACCAGGTCCTCCATGAGTGCGTTCTCACCCCTGACCAGATCAGATGGATGAGTCTCCATATCCAGCCCAGTCTGGCCAGCTCACTGGAAGTGCAGCTTTGAGACCTCCATTCCCACCCCAGCTAGGGAGACCAGCTCACTCCAGTTTACCCCAGACTGTCCCCGTTTGGACACTAAATGTCCCCTATCCCAGGAACCCCCTCTATGCTGGGCAAACTGGGATGTATGGTCATCCTAACCATGGCTCTTTCCCTCTCCCTGGCTCACACATCCACTCCACCCCCAAAATCTTTTCCTCGCTTAACTAACCCCCCATTGACTCTGCTGGAAGGAGCAGGGCAGAGGGGGCTGACTTCATGGCACTCAGTGACAGGCAATGCCTGTTAGCTCGGCACCTGGTGGGAATGGGTCCCTGCCCTGTTGACCGTGCATTCTGGGCAGTAAACCAGATGGATGTTGGATGACAGTTCTGCAAGTAAGGAGTAATGTAATTAGACCATTTCCAATTACTGTGGAATAAATCATCCCAAAATTTACCAGCTTGAAACAATGAACATTTATGAGCTCACATGGTTCCAAATGGGTCAGGAATTCACGAATGAGTGGCTGGCCAGGCTTCTTCCGGCTCAGGGTCTTTCACCACATTGCAGTCAATATGTTGGCTCGGGCTGTGGTCATCTGAAGGCCTGACGGAGGCTGTGGGATCTGCTTCTAAGGTGGGCTGCTCACATGCCTAGCAAGTCAGTGCTGGTTGTTGGGGGCTCTTGGCCAGCGACCTCAGTTCTTTGCCACATGGGCCTCTCCAAGGGCTGCACGGGTGTCTTCACCATATGGCAGGTGACTTCCCCCAGAGCGAGTGATCCAGGAGAGAGTAAGAGGGAATCTTCAAGGACTTTGTGAATTGACCTTGGAAATCATACCCTGTCATTTCTGAATATCTCTTTGGTGACACATGTCAGCCCTGCTCCATGTGGGAGGGGGCCTTACAAGGATGTCAATACCAATGTGTAAAATTCTTGGGAGGAATCTTCCCTGGTGGTCCAGTGGTTAAGAATCTGTCTTGCAATGCAGGGGACATGGAGAGGTTTGATCCCTGCCTGGCCCAGGAAGATCCCACAGGCTGAGGGGCAACTCAGCCTGTGCACTACAGCTACTGAATCCCGCGTGCTCTGGGGCCTGCGTGCCACCGAAGTGAGAAGCCTGCGGGCCGCTACTAGAGGGCAGCACCCGCTCACCGCAAGTAGAGAAAGCCCACACGTAGCAGTGAAGACCCAGGGCATCCAGAAATTAAAAACAAAACGGTTCTTGGCAGCTGGCTGCTACAGTTAGGTTGTGCACTAGGCCCAATCCAATTACTGGGATTGGACTCAGATGTCCAAGCCATCACCTATGAGCACGTCTCCCCAGCATCTCTGTTCTTCTGTCCTAGGGTCTCTCCCTCCCCTACGAGTTCCCCACCCGCCCACCAGAGTCTGTGACATCTCTTTCTCCTGAACCTGTTCATCCTCCCCTCTCTGCAGGGAGCTGACCCATTTCTTCTCCCTCCTTCCCTCCTTTCCCAGAGCCACCCTCATGGAATCTGCCTTCATGACTCGTTGCCAAGCCCTGCTGCCCAGTCTGTGAAATGAAAAGACAGGAACCGGGGACAAAGACAGATGGAGCAAAAAGGAGCAGGCAGGTTCATAAGTGTAAAATATGGACAAACCTGCCACCGTCTATTCCCTGGGACAAATAGATCATCACGGAGCGGGCTGCAGAAGTGCAGAGACAAAGTACCCAGCTGCGGCGGTGTCACCCACTCCTTATTGATGGGCTTTTATGCCCGGGCCCGACTGCTCTCTGAGAATTGCATCCTCCAGCCATGAGACCCCCGAACAGGAGTGACAGGACAAGAAAGCATTTATGTCTCAGCTCGGGCATGAGCCACACTACCAGGTCCCAGCCTTTCTGCAGGATAAGTCATATGCAGACATGAATTATGGGACTTTGACATAGTGCCACATAAAAACATGATCAAAGTGCCACTCCATGTATACATATTGGAAATCATACGAATGCTAGAGAAAGAAAACATTTTCCCTTGTTAAACACCAAACCATTTCGAGGCTGTTAGCGTGGAATGAATGATAAGCTGCATTCACTCTGCGGCCACCGGGCAGAGCTGCTGCAGCTGAGAAACCACCACATTCCATGTCAACTCAGAGCAAAACACCCCATGGTTAGCGCGCTTTGGACTCCAGCGACCGCTTCTTGTGCACTGAGCTGTTATTTTGCCGTTCACTGTCATTATAAACCCACTTTAAAAAGCTATAAAAATGTCATTCGACAACATCACTCACAAAGTAGGTATGCCAATGCTGCAAATCACGCCCCCAAATCAATACTTTGGAGCAGCTATCGGATGTGATAAAACACCGCAGGGAAG